CTCAAGAGCCGATGGAAGTGTTTGGAGACTTGTAATAAGCAATTCGACACTTCAACTGTAGCCTCGATCATTGTAGCTTGCTGCGTTTTACACAACGTTTGCACTAGAACTGGGTTACCGATAGTTCGGATGACGCAAACTGAGGAAAGATTGGAGGCGATGAAGCAGAAAGTTGCCAACGGCCCGATACCGAGGAAGCAGAAGGAAGCAGAAGAGGGGATTAGAGCGAGGGCGGCTTTAGCTGATCGGCTGTGGACTGAAAGGAGAGTGAGCGAATGCTGTAGTGCGCCTAAGAAACGGATGTCTAAGAAAGATAGGCTATTGGAAGGTCATCAGAATCACTCTCAACAGCAACAGCATCCTCCCATCGCCTCATTGTCTCAGCAACATGCTCCCCCCTTACCCCCTTCACATCCCCCGCCCCCTTCACATCACGAAGATGCAAGCAAAAGACCGCGAATACTCACAATGCATACTCCAACCTACAGTCTAGGCATGGCCCCAGGCTGGGGACATTATCCGCAGCAGTAAATGTGTGTAAAATGAAAAAAATGTTTTCATTGACAACGCGATGTTTTGCGTCTTGTGAAGAGAGTATTTTGATTTTGAGTGTAGTTCGGCGAGTTTATAATGGTTGACGGCCTTTTTGTTTCGTTATTGGCAAAGAAGCCTTTCGGACAAGTGATTATTGTGTATGCAACACTCGCATTACCATATCACAACGAAATAAATGCATTCAAACCAGAAAAAGATGCAGACATTATGTATCAAGTTTAAGGATAGTAGAGAGTGGTTTGTTAACGTTATGACAAAGTATTTTGAAAGTCAGTTTGTATTTCATATGAAATAAATAAATATGAATATTATAAGCAACTGTATCGACAGACTTACTAAACTGCTCACAGATTAAAAAATTTAAAATACATGAGATGGTCTTACGTCTATAAGTGTACGTGTGCGTTGCCTTAAACGGGGGAGCACGAAGTGGACGTCCGTCGCGTAGATCCGCTCCGTGCTCCATCGCGGGACCCGTTCAACTCTTCGAGGGACCCGTTCAACTCTTCGAGGGACCCGTTCAACTCTTCGAGGGACCCGTTCAACTCTTCGAGGGACCCGTTCAACCTCTTCGAGGGACTCGTTCAACCCTTCTCGATACCCGTTCAACCCTTCGCGGGACCCGTTCATCCTCTCACGGAACCAGTTTAGCCCGTGGCGGGACCCGTTCAACCCGTCACGGGACTGCGAGTGGCCGGTGCGTCACACAGCAGTACCATTTTGATTGTGCGGGTGAACAAGAGGGGAAGCGGGCAATGTATAAACACGCCGATCTGAGAACGCTTGCTCCGTGCCCCGCTTAACGCAGCGCACGCTCTTAAACTAACTCAAAAACGAAAACCGCGTATAAACTACACTTAAAATCGAATACGATAGCGTTGGGTTGTGTTCGTTTACTGTGTAAACGGATTAGACATTTCCTGATGAATTCAGGACTGTGAGAAATATTGGTGTCTCTTTTGCCGTCACTTCACTTGGCTATTCGTGTTTGCTATTCGTAAAGTTGACAATAGTTTATCCCATAGAGGTATAAGAATAGAGTGGGGAAGGCGACTCTAAAAGTGTCCGTCTAGTACAGTGTTTTCTAACCTTTCCAATACTGTTACCCCTATAAACTATTAGGAAAACAGATTTTACCCTGACTTTAAAATGTTATCAAAACTAACAATACAAGTAAATTTTAATCATCATCATCAACAGCCTATCCTAGTCCACTGCTGGACATAGGCCTCTCCAATTGCACGCCACTCAGATCGATTTGGGGCTACTCGCATCCAGCTCCTGCCAGCCACCTTGCGCAAATCGTTAAATGTTTGTTAATTACAAATTTATTATTATTTAAAGAAAAGTTTACTAGAAAAAAATCCACGCGGACCAGGCAGCGGACGCACTGACCATTATGCTACCACGGCCCTATTAGCCGCGTCGAAATTTTCCTAGCCTTAAGCTGCAAGGCAGCGCCATCTCTTCGCATTGTAGGTAACCCACAATGTCAAATGAATACTTTTTCAAGTATTAAACATTTGAAAGAAGAAATAGCAATTATAGTTATGGTTCGAGTCCCGTCCGCTGCTTGGTCCGCGTGGATTTTTTTCTAGTAAACTTTTCTTTAGATTTAAAAATCTAGCAGTTAAATGCTTAAAAAATAAATAAAATCATTATTATTATTTATCAAAACAGGCCACATAAACCAAACACACAAATTGCAGAACAGTATAATAATTTTATCTTGTTTCATATTTAAACTATGAATTAATAATAATAATAATTGTTAAGGTTGGAATTGTCTTGCATTTATAAGTTTTTTTTATGTTAGGTTTAGTTTCACTTAAAGCATCTCAAGTCCTGTATCACAAGACGGTTTCTGGCCTTAGTTTTAATAGAGGTAACTAAATTTATTTATTGACGTTTCGTAGCCTTTACAGGCTACGTCATCAGAATCAAATTTTATTTAATTTTGTCGAGCTACCTTCGAAAGACTTTTATTGAGCGTTCAGGAGTTAGAAAGCCTCTCTTGAGTTTGTTTCGCCGGTTCTTCTCAGGAAGGTCTCCCAATTTTGGAACCGGTGGTAGTTTACGATAGTTGGGGTCAAATAAATAAACTCAAAATTACAAAAAGAATTTTAAATAAAGTACTTTATTAACTAAATTAAGTAATAAATTCATACATAGACAGTAAAAATTTTAAAAATCGAATAATGAAATAACCGAACGCTCAATAAAAAGTCTTTCGAAGGTAGCTCGACAAAATTAAATAAAATTTGATTCTGACGACGTAGCCTGTAAAGGCTACGAAACGTCAATAAATAAATAAAGTTTCGTGCATTAACCCGTAAAAAAATAGTTTTATTTAATGAGTGATGTGCGTGAAAACCTAAGAAACAAATAGAGGTAACTAAAGTTGAAAAACCACTCTCGCGTCTGTAGGTGGTGGCAGAGGGTATTAACATTTTTAAAGCTCTGTTAGCTATAACAGGATACTGGGCATCTGATATTATCCAAAAATGTGCTGATATCATAATTTTTAAAATTCAACTTTGAAAGTAGTACTTTCGCGCAGTCCAATAAATTCCAATTTGGCCGCTACATTTTCGTCGCTAATAATGTCTTCATCAGGAGAAAATCTCTCCTCGCCTCCCACACTCAGCATCCCGTGGTTTTGCTAGCTAGAAGGAGTGCATGCCACGTGCATTACTGCGCGGTGTACTGTATTTTCTTATTATTTAGATTTGACCAAATAATTAGGCTCTTTGTTACCCCCGAAGTATGCCTTTCTCTCTCTAATCGCGAATGTGCATTGGATGAAAAACCTATAGATGAATATCGACCAATCACACGACTGCGTCACAAGAGAGAGAGAAAGCTAGCCGTTTCTTATCTTCTTTCTCTTTCTACTAGCTAGACGGACACTTCCACTTGTAGTAGAGTATATATCTCCCCTACTCTATTCTTATACCTCTATGGTATATCCATCATGCTTTATAAGGAATGAAAAGGACAGACTGATGTCAAGTTTACAAATAACAAGCACGAATATCCAAGTGCCGGCATTTATACTTGGGTGCTTTCGTTTTTGTAACGAGTTCTGAAATGAATCATGCTTAAAGATGGCGAATGCTATTTTTCTATCTTGTTATGTCCCGCATCCAAAATATAGTGCAGGGGCCATACTGTAAATTCAACGGACATGACAGAATTGGTGAGGTATTGCACCAATTTAGTTAAGATAAAAATGTATTATAATAAATAAAATCTCTTGACTGTACATGGTTTTTATTATTTATATTTATGTAAACTCCCCTAAATATGTGTCGCATAAATGTATAAAATCGTATACTCATAAAGTGTTACCCTTTCTTGTTTCATTGATTTTGACACAATAGCTATTTGTTATCCAAAAAATAATGAGATTATGAGAACCTTTTTAGGGTTCCGGTCCTTTACTGAACGCAAAAAAATATCTGATTTAATATGAGGATAGTGTAACTCATTGCCGCTATAACTAAAAATATATATTTAAGGGGGGCTCCCCAAAGATATTAAATACCCTATATATACTATGTGCGCTAAAAATGTGTCCCAATCAAGAAGTGCTTGAACACCACTCAGCACTTCGTGGTTCACAGTCACGCGCCGACCGTTGAAAAGTCAATTGCCGCACAGCTCCGTGAAAATACGCAAAGATAATACTTTTAGTATGCAAAGTGTCCTTTTTCGACAGGTATCTAATCAATGTTAGTTAATTTAACGCATTGGAAGCAAATTTTGTTCTAATACGTACTATAAACCGATTTAATAGAAAATGTTTGTGATATTGAACTGCATGGTCGGTAATATAGCCGTCTCTATTCCTCGTGGTCCGTATCTGCTAATAGCAGATACAGATTATTGGTAACAGCGTATGCAGAATTGTGCGTAGAGGCAAAGTTATAAGGTCTATATTCTTCAGCATATAGCAATTTCAGTTCGAACTGTCATAACTCTTTGACGCATGCGTTTTAATTAAGACCTTATACAGTATGCATAAAGAGTACATACATTCTGTGTAAAAAAGGTTTCGGTCACGATTTTGTTCGTGTTGTATTTAATGTCGTTGGGGCTCCCATACAACGGGATTTTTGCAGATTTTTGCTCTATATCATATTATCGTATCTAATTTTGTATAGATAATGATACAGAACACTTCGTGCACGAGTTCGTTTCGTGTTTGGCCAGTTTATTTATTTACAATGCGTATCACGTCAATCCACGAATCCTATACTGTAGTTATCCATTTTATGTTTAACTAGCTGTGCCCCGCGGTGTTATTCGCGGTTTATAAGGGATGTTTTCCCGCGGTAAAACGTAGCCTATGTGTTAATCCAGGATATCAGCTAACTCCATACCAAACTTTATTAAAATCGCTCCAGCCGCTTAGACGTGAAGAAGTAACAAACGTACACACTCACAAACTTTCGCCTTAATATTAGTTTGATAGTTATCCAAGCGTGTAGGCAGATCTGTTTACAATAACAAACAAAAAGCTGATTTTTAGCATTTGCCTGCAGGAATTCAACTCGCAAATGAATAGTTTTATGACAAAGTTTTGCAATTGTTTATAGTGTTTGCAAACGCTGCTTTGGGAAGGTAATAAAACAAAATATAGTGTTTACACATATCTATATATTGGTGTCAATTCTGACACGATTCTCTAAACCTAAACTTAAATTTGACAACAGTGTATCCTTGTCATCCTCTAAACGGAATGAAAAGGAGAGATTAATGTTAAAGGAGACCCGGCACTTTTCATAGAAAAAATGCTAAACTTGTATACAGTTGAATTTGGTCTCAAAATAAAGCCAAAATTATTTGCTACATAAAACTACTTTTGCCTTATTTTTAGTGAATCGTGGAAAGAAGTTATTTAATGATTAATATTTTTTATATAGAAACCCTTTTGATGACAAACCTACGTATTTGACATTGACAGCTAGCTGCTGATAAAAAAATTAAAAAAGTATACAACTTTGGCACAAAATGCCGGGTGTCCTTTAGTTTTAAGTTTAGAGAATCACGCCAGAATCGACACTATTGTATATTTATTTTTAACAATAATAAGTAATTAAATACAGTAACATAACTTTAAGATACAATTTCATAACCGTACGTTTTTATTATTCACTAACGGCCATACTCAAACAAGTCATTATACATTTCAAGTTATTGCTGTCATTTTAAATGATGATATAAAATTAAAATAATGAGTACAACCGTAAGTAACAACAGTCTTCAGTAATAGATTAGTGATTTTTCTCGCCCTATTACTTATGATCACTAGGAAATGAGAAGGCTTTAAGGTGATTTTTTATTTACTCGGAGAGTAAATATTGAGCAGAATTTATAATAAAACATTTACCTACATGATTCTATATAATAATATATCTTTAGTGAACGTAAAACTGATATACACTGATTTCCACAACAAGTTAGTAGTTTTCGTAAGAAAATTATTTTGCTACAGTGGGATACGCCTCAGGATTTATCTTATTTTCGACCTGATGTCCTAAAAATTGATGTTATTTGGGGATAAATTACAATGTATTTAGGGATTCAAATTTCAATTCAACAGTTTCATGCATTTTCGACTTAATTCCTTCAAACATAAATTCGTTGACTAATGTTTGATGATTTCTTTCCCCATTTTTGTCTTTATTATTTGGTGATAATGTTATTTTCACAAAGATGACGGATTACAGATAAAGAAATAAAGATCATTCAGAAAAGACTTTCACTAATGACTTACAGTTTGATATTAACAGTCCATAAAAAAAGATTTTGTTCATTTTCGACTTTACTACTTGTATATATGGTTCAAATCTCAGGATTTGGCGAACGTTTGCGCGATTTGATTGGCCAGTAGCGAGGCGACCGCCATATTGGAACAATTTGCCGTAACTAGAGACGCGTCTGATTCCTGTCTTACTGATAACAATACGAGGTCCTGTGACGTCAGCATTCGGCCTGAGAATCTGCAGAAAATTTATTAAGAAAATTTAATATTGAAAGAGCGCGATGGAAAGAATAGTAGGAAATTAGACGATTCAAAATAGCTTCAAATCATCACATCACCAGCCTATTAATGTCCCCAGTTCTGGGGCACAGGCCTTCCCTATGGATGGAATAGGGAGATTGGGCCATGACCCGCCACGCGGGCCCAGTGCGGATTGATGGGTGCTAACGACTGCAGATACAGCCGGGACTAACGGCTTAACGTAAGCTCGAGATAGAGAATTTTTGGTCACCCATCCAATGACCGACCACTGCGAAAGTTGTTTAACTTCAACGATCGTAGCCGAACGCGCTAACCACCTGCGCCATCGAGTTCCTCATTTGTATTTTTCTCAGTGACATATAAAACAAAGTTCAAATTATAGGTTTTCTATGTGTCAATGTATGCAGGCCAAGTATGACTGGCAGCTAGCCGGCCATACAAGGCGTCTATAACAAAAATGAAACCAAAATACTCAAAATGCCATACCTCAGTAGATCATCAGATGCGGAGACAGATGCTAGATTCGCAGTTTCATAAACTCTTTTGCAGATCGTTGTTTCGTCCTCCAATTTCACAGCTTTTTTAGAGCACTGTAACAAAAACATAAAATATTTTAAAGAAAATATGTTTAGAAAAAAATCCACGCGGACCAGGATACGATATAGACCAGGGACGGGACGCATTACTAATGCGAAGAGATGGCGCTGCCTTGCAGCTTAAGAATGACTAGAAGAATTTCGACGCGGTCCGTGAGGGCCGCGGTAGCATAATTGGTCAGTGCATTCGCCCGAATTGCGAAGGGTGCGGGTTCGAGTTCCGTCTGCTGCCTGGTCTGCGTGGATCTTTTTCTAGTTATATTTTCTTTAGATTTAAACAGCAAGCAGTTACATGCTTTAAAAAAAATAAAAATTATAACTATAAAATATTTTGTAAATAAATTACCTTACAACAAATACAACTATCAAGAAAATTCAATTTAAAAGTTAAAATTGCGTATGAAAACTAACCTAAAACCTTCCAAAATTTCCACAATCCCGTCAATAGAGTATGACGTTTTCGCTGGGTAAATTATAAATAAATAAATAAATATTTCCAACACTCATACCAATTAGCTTAGCCCCAAAGTAAGCACTATAAGGCTTGTGTTATGGGATACTACGGTAACGGATAGAATACATATACTGTACATATATAAGTATATTTATATAGAAAATACATATTTAACATCCATGACTGGAGTACAAATGCTCGTATTCTTCACACAAACATCTGCCTCCACCGGGATTTGAACGCAGGATATCTCGAGTCGGCGACACCATGAAACCCGGCGTACAAACCACTCGGCCACGGATGTCGTCGTTATTTGTAAATTTACCGTTTCCAAATTCTGAATTTACTAGGCGTGATATCGATAATGGCTGTCTCAGTAGAGATAAAGCTAAATTTTACGTACTATAATAGCTGTATAACCACAGAACGCGGAAAGAGGTTGTTACAAGGGTGATCATAAATCGTTTGTACGGGAACCGGTGGCGCCGCACAGTGGGTGAAAAAAAGAGGTCCCCTTTCATAGGATTTTTGAAAAAATAAAAATATATATTATCCGTTTAAGGTATGCGGTTTTATTGGACATATCACTACATTGAATAATAAAATAGTTTGGGGAATTTCCTTTTAATCTAACACCATAAAGCACGGGCTTTAGAGTTTCAAATGTATGAAAACGGAATTTGTTTTGCTCATAACTTGTATCGGTCTTCTACGGTCAAGCTGAAACTTATAGGGATTATTACCGGGTCTGTTACGAAGCCATGTGACCTTTGACCTTCACCCCGGACGGCCCCGTTCAAAAGATACGAATTTTTCAAAATGCTTATTAGGGTAATTTTGCTTTACGGGGTTATGTGTCTCAATAAACAATTTGTTTATGTTTCTTGCCCAGCATTTAGTTATTAATATAACACAGATTATTATCTAATAAAACTATACATATATATATAGATAACGACACCATACAACTTAACTTTAAATAAAAGCGTCCTTATTCAAAAGATATGGAATTAATATAAATAGATAAAAGAAATAGTTTTAAGAAAAAGAAAACAAGAATACAATATTGTAAAGAATTACAATGAAGTCGTTTAAAGCCAACAATTTAATCTTTTGTTTGACAATCGCTTAAAAGTCGCACACCATTAACGAGAGCATCATTACATATAAACAATACAAACTCTATTGTGGCGGGTTTTGGGTAATTCAAAGGGTTACCCACAGTCATTACCTGCAATTGTTAGCCTATAATAATTACTGATTATTTGCTTTTATTGTGGGTAGGTGAATAAATAATACGTTGTTATTATTATTATTCAACAATGACTTCGATTATAATAAATACGGAGTACACCTGTATTTCATTTCACTTATCATTATTGATTCGTACCGTAACGTTCTCTTTGCTCAAATTTTAAGTTGCTCAGAATGGAAGGGCTTGTGTCTAATCTCGACGTATATATATATATATATATGAGGCAAAAATATTTTAGTGCCGACATGTTATTTCAAAAAGTACTCGATTCAGTGAGATTTTCATTATCTGAAGAACAAAAGACAACTCTTAAAACGTTTTGTGCTACATATACGAGTAATCTTAAACGCAAATGGAAGTCAGCTAATTACACACAAGGGAATTTTATAAAGAAGTTTGCTGACTGGTTGGACCAAGAAATAAAATGGCCAGAGTTTGTTTCACTAGACATAACTGAAGAACAATCAAATATTATGACGAGTTTTGAAGATCCTTCAACAAGTATTTCAACAGTAACAAGACCTAGTTTATCAACGGAATGCACTGTTCCTCATAGTGTGGCTGTGTCGACATCAACCGCTACATTTAGTCCTCGAAAAGAATTTGCCAATTTGAGTCCACTGCAAAAAAGAAGAAGAACTGAAAATCTTATTGCCGAAAACGATTTTGAGACACTTGCTTATGCCCTGGCTAGGAAAGCGGAAAATGAAAACCAAACGGACTTTGTAGAATTAGTGAAGCATTTGATTAAAAAGCCTGAAGATGCGCCAATGCTGCGAGCCTGCCTGAAATCGACGAAACGAACTTGTCATACCGATAAGGCACTCGGTATTTCAACATCACTGAAATTATCGAAATGGCACATTACATTGAGGCAGACAATGAGAGACATGGGGTGTGATATACTTCCATCGTATGATGCTTTGAAGCAAGAGAAGAAGGAGTGCTACGTTGAAAAAGAAGACATGGTAATAACTGAGACTGAAGTTAAACTTAAACTTCAGTCTATTTTAGATATTACGGTCAAGAGACTATTAAAAACTCTGGAAACTGATTTAACTGGCAGTAATTCGACTCTTATCAGTAAATGGGGGTTTGACGGTGCATCTGGGCAAAGCGACTACCAACAAAAAATTGACGGCGATGATTCAAGCATCTTCATGTGTTCATTTGTGCCGTTAAAACTGGTGAGAGATGGTACTGATGAAATAATATGGGAAAACCCCAAAGCGTCTTCAACGTTTTACTGTCGACCCATTTATTTTAAGTTTGCTAAAGAGAACGATTTGAATGTTAAAGAAGAAATGAATTCAATTGATACGGAAATTGCTGCTCTACGTCCAACTGTTATCGATGGTGCAAATGTAAAACACGTTCTGCATATGACGATGATTGATGGTAAAATAACTTCACATTTATCAGATACATCCACAGCTACATGCGATATATGCAAAGCAAAACCAAAAGAAATGAATGATATCGACAAGGTTACTCAGAGAACTCAGTCTGTAGACATGTTTAAGTTCGGTCTGTCTTCCCTCCATGCACGAATTAGATGCATGGAATGTATCTTACATATTGCTTACCGTCTCGACTTCAAGAAATGGCAAGGTAAGGGCGAAGATTTGAAGCAACAGTTAAGCCAAAGAAAAAAGGCTATTCAAGAACAATTCCGGACTGAAACGGGGCTACTTGTGGACGTTGTTAAACAAGGGGCTGGTACAAGCAACGATGGAAACACAGCAAGAAGATTTTTTGTTAATCCTCAAATTACTCCTCAAATAACGGGTGTTGATGAAGAACTCGTTAGAAGATTTGGAGTGATTCTCCAGGCTATCTCATGTGGAGAGTTTGTGGACGTGGAAAAAATCCGCCAATATTGTGCTGCTACAGCACGCAAATATGTCGAGCTCTATGAATGGTATTATATGCCCTCAAGCGTGCATAAATTACTCATTCATGGTGCCGACATAATAGAGCACAATAACTTTATACCAATCGGCAAGCTCTCTGAAGAGGCCTCTGAAGTACGTAACAAAGATTTTAAAAACTTCAGAACTTTCCACTCGCGTAGATCTAGCAGGATTGCAACAAATGAAGATATTATCAATAATTTGTTAATATCGTCTGACCCATACCTATCAAGTTTCAGGCCTAAAATATGTCAACGAAATAAACCTCTCACAAATGAAGCTAAATCATTATTATTAACTTCTTGTGAAGATAAGGAAAATATAGAGTTTGTAGATGTAGGTAATGTATCTGATTATGACTTTGATTAGTATGTGTTCTTTCCCTCAAATCAAATTATATCAAACTTTGTATTTTTATTTTTTTGTATCTTTGTATCATATTAATATAAACAGTTTACGTATTTAAGAACTGTTGTAGCCAATTTGAGTTCTACTAATCTTTTATACTTTAGCTTGTATGTGTGTAGTAATTTATACAGTTGTGGCTTCCTTATTATGCATTATTTAATTTATGATATCAAGCTTAGTTACTAATTTAAGTTTTGTAAATAAAAATATTGATGTTAATAATTTTGTAATATTCATAATGTAAATAGTTTATTTTATCGTTTGGCAGTAACATATCAGAATCTCCCTTACTACATTTACTAATATTAATAACCAGCTAGTTTATCTGGAAAAACACTTTGTTCATTTTAAGCTTAGTCAGTTAAAGTTCTAGGTATCCCAAAATAAACATATTTGATCAAACCCTTTCTTAGATAGACATTGTAAGTGTAAGTATGTTTGTTTGACAAAATTAATTATTATAGGCAAACAACGGCAGGTAATGACTGTGGGTAACCCTTTGAATTCCTCAAAACCTGCAACAATAGAGTTTGTATTGTTTATATGTAATGATGCTCTCGTTAATGGCGAGCGGCTTTTAAGCGATTGTCAAACAAAAGATTAAATTGTAGGCTGTAAACGACTTCATTGTAATTCTTTACAATATTGTATTCTTGTTTTCTTTTTCTTAAAACTATTTCTTTTATCTATTTATATTAATTCCATATCTTTTGAATAAGGACGCTTTTATTTAAAGTTAAGTTGTATGGTGTCGTTATCTATATATATATATGTATAGTTTTATTAGATAATAATCTGTGTTATATTAATAACTAAATGCTGGGCAAGAAACATAAACGAACTGTTTATTGAGACACATAACCCCGTAAAGCAAAATTACCCTAATAAGCATTTTGAAAAATTCGTATCTTTTGAACGGGGCCGTCCGGGGTGAAGTTCAAAGGTCACATGGCTTCGTAACAGACCCGGTAATAAACCCTATAAGTTTCAGCTTGACCGTAGAAGACCGATACAAGTTATGAGCAAAACAAATTCCGTTTTCATACATTTGAAACTCTAAAGCCCGTGCTTTATGGTGTTAGATTAAAAGGAAATTCCCCAAACTATTTTATTATTCAATGTACTGATATGTCCAATAAAACCGCATACCTTAAACGGATAATAAACATTTTTATTTTTTCAAAAATCCTATGAAAGGGGACCTCTTTTTTTCACCCACTGTGCGCCGGCTCGCCCCCACTACACTTGCACCTTCATAATAGCCAATCAAATGACGCGCCAACAAACAATCGAACCAATCAGCGGTCACACCCGAGAGCAACGACGCAATCAAAACCAAGGTTTGTTCGAGTTATGGGGCAGGCGCGCCACAGTTATGTATGAGCATTTGCTTATACATAACTGTGGCGCGCCTGCCCCTACCACAAGGCCCTTCTAACCTCTGTCTGTGTTCCGAGGCTACAATATAGTTCTAGAAACACTAATACAGCCTTAAATAAAACTAGTTTTAACGAGTTAATGCACGAAACTTTATTTATTTATTAGCGTTTCGCAGCCTTTTCAGGCTGCTCCGTCAATTTTTTTTATAAACTAATAAAAAATAATTCTGACAAAGCAGCCTGAAAAGGCTGCGAAACGTCAATAAATAAATAAAGTTTCGTGCATTAACCCGTTAAAACTAGTTTTACTTAATGAGTGATGTGCGTCAAAACCTAAGAAACAAATAATACAGCCTTACCTAAATTATACATGTAAATTCTAATCAGTTGTTATTTTTTTTAATTATTTTATTTTATTTAACAATTGGGAACATAGAACAGTTTTACACTAAATAGTACTCAAATTTAGATGTAGATATTAATTAGGTATGTTTACAACCCACACCAATGTCTGTTGAAGGACACACAAATTAATGATGCAAGATAAGTATAATTATTTTCTCTTTACCGAATAATAAATAAATAAACGACGGGTTGCACTCCGGGAGTGCTGGCAGAAGTGAAAACTTGAATATCAACGTTGTGCATTTTTGAAATTTTGGGAAGGTTAGGGAATAATTTTGCACGAAATGTATGTGGTAGAATACAATATTTATTTCTTGCGCTATCGTACACAAACATGACAATTTATATTACATTAAAAAAGTTTATCTCCCAAAAAATCAACTTACATGAATCACGTTTAAGCGCACTTAGCGACATCTATTGTAAAGAAATCAACTTACATGAATCACATTTAAGCGCACCTAGCGACATCTATTGTAAAAAAATGCATTTTCTTCTCAATAAAGCTGCCACGTGGACGTCATAGACAGAGACTTATTATTATAATACGATAAAATAAAATATTACTTTGTTTCGTCCAATAAATTGAAAGTCAACCACCTTTCCAATTGTATTGTGTGTCATGATGCGATCAACCCTCGTGTTTAACCTGAAGCGAGTTTAACATTTTGTACCCATACAAAAAAAGTGTACAACGCCGCTAAAGAAGTTTTCACTTCAAAAAAACGCGATGAACCACACCTGCACAATCTACAACCAGATATAGACCGTGTTCCTGAGGATATACATTAACTTTGAATAATACTTCTATAGCTCTTGTTAAACATATTGTACAAGGAAAGTAGTAGTTTAAATCGCTAGTTTAGTTTTTAAATTATTGGTAATTTAAGTTTAACCAACGTAATTGTGTTGTGCAGTGAGAAAGAGTCTTTATCTGTGATATGTTGCCACTATGTGCAACCAAAACTATCAAACTGTCAACTCTTTGTCAATGGTCATTAAGACATAGTTTCAAAAGTCAAAATTTTAAAAAACATTGATGACGTCAAGAAAAGTTTCAAAAAGTTTATGTGGACATGTGAACCAAAGTTTCAAATGCGACGTTGCCAGCTCAGGTAAAAAGTAATTCATATTAGATAAATTACATCTAAGCATTTAATTTGTATGAAAATAAAAAAATGTTTAAGAAATTTTAATTCATAAAAGTGTCCATAGTAAAAAATGATCAATTTAATAGACATGCCAAAGTTAGTGTATAACCTCAGGAACACGGTGTATATATATTTTTTTTCAATAATTACCTCGTTCATACCGCGTAGCTTCTTGTGTTCGCTGTCCCAGCGCTGTGCCGACATAGTGACTGCTCTCATCAACTCGCCTACTGGAGGGGTTATCGACACCGATGCTTCACCTATACAAAGGATAATCAACATGAACCTTTCATTTTTAAACAAAAATGCAAAAGTGCATACCGTAAATGGTCCGGGGCGCCAGATTTTAAAATACGCCCCTGTAACCTGTACCCCTTATTCTACCCTATCTATCGAATTCGATAATGGGTCGTGCTAGAAGAATTTCGACGCGGTCCATGAGGGCCGCGGTAGCATAATTGGTCAGTGCATTCGCCCGGATTGCGAAGGGTGCGGGTTCGAGTCCAGTCTGCTGCCGGGTCCGCGTGGATTTTTTTCTAGTTATATTTTCTTTACTTAAAGTTACTCAAAAAAAAGGCTTGAAAGGTGGAACTTTAGTTTTTAGTAGGTTTTACTCAAACATTTAACTTCAGACTGATAAAGATTTCCATTCCCACTCACCCACTGAGCAGGCCATGGTGAACTCTATGGGTTGTATGGTGTCAGCGAAGTCCACGCCCAGCACTACGGAAGCGGAGCCGCCGGGCGGCACTAGTGTCACCGGCGCGAAGTCGTGTATAGCGCGCGATCCCGTTAGCGTCTATCGGAAGATAATATTAAATTAAAAGATGGTTTTATAAAGACCTACTTGATAAACGCACATACATAAAGTAAAAAAAAAAAATGTGTGTGTCAGCTCCGACGCACGACCGGAGTTTACACTCTAAAAACGATTGTCTTTGAACAGAGACAAAACAAAATCAAGTCCGAAGAAGTCGGGTACAAGTAGAGATACACCAAAAGCTAATAAAAGCGTATTTATTTATTTATTTAAGGACAACCAACAAGAATATCCACACATAGTATAATATAACAAAAGTGTATAAGTGACAATTCAAGTGGTATCTTAATTATAGGCTGCCACGGCATGCATTTGTGACAATAATGACAGAGTGTGCATTCTTAACAAAATTATAAAAGTATAAAAAGAAATAATTATGCATGATATTCACAAACATGTTGTTGTTACATTGAACATATCCAATACGACAGAACTATTGTGCAGCAATAAATCAGGAGATATTACAATATTAATAATACAATGCTTATTATGCTAAGCCGGAGCAAAAAATTTTTTATGTTTGTTTGATGACAGATGGAGCAACATTTTTTACAAATTCACCATAGTCACTAAATAGGTCTAGATTAGAGGCCTTAGACATTTTATTATAATATGATTGCATACGACACAGTGACGAAAAGTGACCTAAATTAGATTTGAATATCTTGGGCATAAATAATTTGTAATTAGATGATCGCGGTAGGTTATGTGGTAAATTATATTTTATATTAGCTAACAGAAAAGGACAGTCTAAATGACCGTTCACTAATTTATAAAGAAATTTTAAATCTGCGACTTTACTACGGTCGTCCAAACTTAATAGCTTAAAGTAATCTAAACGTTTTTTATATGAAGTGAGTTCGTAAGTTTTTTGACACTGGAAAGCTAAATGCCAGAGAAACCTTTTATTTAATGATTCAATTCTCTTTTTGTGTATATCGTAGAACGGTGTCCAAACAGGGCTACAATATTCAACTATCGATCTAACAAGGCAATTGTATAGGCAAATTTTAGTGTGAGCAGATTTTAATTCTTTACTATTGCGTATCACAAATCCCAGTAATTTGAAGCATCGGGTAACAATATTATCAATGTGTATATTGAACCTTAATTTGTTGTCAATAATAACACCCAAATCACGAGCCGTATCAACCTCCCTCAGGTTTTGGCCATTTAATGTATAGGATGAGAAATGTGGTAATTTCTTTCTAGAAAAATGCATGAAGAAACATTTGTCAGGATTCAACTTCAATAGATTATTATCACACCATACAGCAAACCGATTGATATCTTCTTGCAACAAGTGCACGTCTACTACGTTGGATACATGCTTTACAATTTTAATATCATCTGCATATAAGTAACATTGAGAGTGATGGAAGCAAGAGATGACATCGTTAATAAAGAAATTAAAAAATAATGGTCCTAAATTTGAGCCTTGTGGGACCCCCGATGACGTCACATACACTGCAGACTCATATCCTTTTATAACTACTTTAGAACTTCGATTAGAAAGATAAGAATCACACCACTGCAACAAAGGGCCACTTATACCGAACTGTGAAATTTTTTTAATGAGGATTTTTAAATTAACGAGGTCAAAGGCCTTGCTAAAATCAGTGTATATGACGTCAGCGGAAGCCCTAGAGTCCACTGCATCAACCACATTCGCTACAAAGCTGACTAAGTTCGTTGTTGTAGATCGAGCCTTAACGAACCCGTGCTGCTGTGGTACAATCAACTGTTTCACATGCCAGTATATTACATGTTGCACCAGAGACTCCAATATCTTGCCAAATATTGGTAGAATTGATATTGGACGAAAGTTTTCGATGTTTGCACGGTCACCCGCTTTATGGACAGGAACAATACGTGCTTCTTTCCATAAAGCGGGGAAGACTCCAGAAGATAATGACATGTTAAAAATTATACAAAGAGGCTCAGCAAGAACATCAGCACACTTTGCAACAAATACTGCTGGCAAATTATCTGACCCAGCTCCCTTTCTTGCGTCAATACGTTTGAGTGCATGTTTGACTTCATCAAGGGTAAAAACAATTGTTTGGAGATAATTTGATGTCATCACTGTCTCAACACCATGGCTTGGATCTTCTGTATTATTTAAATTATTTGAAGAGTATATTGACGAAAAGTGCTTAGCAAAGTTATTGCATATATCAGAGCCATTCGTCAAAGAAACATTATTATAATACATCCTAGATGGATATCCGCAGCTGTTTTTATTTTTTTGTTTTATAAAGGACCAGAAAATCTTTGGATTATTCTTTATCGTAGACTCTATAGTGGATAAGTACTTTATATAACTTTTATTTATCAACATAATAGACCTTGCTTTTAGCATCTTGAAAGTTATTTTATCACGTGGATTTTGAAATTTAGAATATAATTTCCTGTATTTCGACTTCTCGTTTAAAACATGTATAATATCTCTATTGAACCAAGCAGGATAACGACTAGATCGACAAGGAGAAGATAGGGGAATATACATTTTGACCGTTTCACTAATTATATTATATAATTTCTGTACTACAACATCCACCGATAAACAATCACGAAACTCCACATCCCATTTTAAAGCACCTAAATGTTTAATAATGCTGTCATAATCTCCCTTGTGAAATTTATATGTGTGGTGTGAATTAGTTTGTAGATAACTTGCATTAATATTACATTTCAATTTAATTTCTAAAGGAGGATGGTACGGGTCGACTTTAGTTAAAGGTGATACGCAGCTCTGGACATTAACCATTGGGACATTAGATAAAATTAAATCAAGTATTTTGTTCTTGTTGTTTACTATATGATTGCACTGATCAAAATTATTAAAAGATATAAAATCAAGTAATAGTTGACTATAAAGTCCGTTATTAGCACAAGAAGCAATCATTGGCGAATCAGCAGTGCCGGTCCAATGTATACTACCAAGATTGAAATCGCCTAAAATAAGCGAGTGACTATTTTTTTCTAAAACTCCATTGGTGTTACTCAAGAAATGTTCGAGTATGTGCATTTGTAAAGGAGGTGGTATATATATATTCCGAAAAATCCATAGTTGCTGAAACTTGTTATTAAATTTAATATCGATACCCACCCAAACATCCTCACATTTACTTTCATAACTATGCAATCTATATGAAGTAAGCCGTTTAGACACCGCAATTAATACTCCACCTCCCGACTTTGCACTGTGGAAACCGCTCATTTCTCGATCTCGTCTGTAGACACAATAACGATTGTCAAATAATTCCATGTCTTTAATACTACTGGTGAGCCAGGTTTCACATAGCACAATAACGTCATATTCGCTTGTTACCAAATTACGAAAAAAATTTAAAGTTTTTGTTCTTAAGCCCCTAACATTCTGGTAATAAATATTTAGTGTAGAAATAGACATCTTTTAAAATATTTAATACTATCTCGAGATAAAATACATAATAATTTATTGATAATTATATAAAATTTAGTTAGCCTTTTTATTGTGTCCATATTACGCACAAAGATTGCCTCCGACGTATCCGACTTCCGTAGGTACACCCGGCCACCACGTACCCACACATATTTATAACAAAGTTCCTTAGCGCTGATTCGGGCAGCGGCATGTAAAGATTTATTCACGGGTGACAGGTGTTCCGTTACATATACTGGAGTTTTGTTACCACCAATACCAAGGTCACCGCTGTTTAGTTTTTCATCTTTATGGTTCTTGTTGTACTGGATAACAGACGCCAGTAAACAATCTCGCATTCGGGGAGTGGTAAACCTAACAAGGATGGACCGTGGACGCGGGCTGTTATTATCCTTTTTAGATACTCGCGAACAAAAAGCAATATCATTCTCGTTAAAAGCATAATTCACAACGTTACATAGCTGCTTGATAATAGCTAAGACATTTTCAGATCGGTGCTCCGGTACGCATTGAATTTCGACATTGGAAGCTCGTGACATTTGATCCAAATCCGTGAGGCGACTGTTGAGACTATTGACTTCCGAGCGGAGCTGTTCATTTTCCTTGGACAGAGTAGTCACGTCGTGACTGCATTTTGAAATATCAGTCTTAAGAGACTCGAACTGATCATTTAAAAAATTAAGCGAGTCGTGAAAGGAGCTTATCTCTTTCCGGAGATCACTCAGGTTTGCATTTAAGGAACTGCTCAAATCATTCAAGTTTTCCCTCAGCGCACTGCGAAGTTCATCACGAATGATTTCTCTTATTTCATCGCGAGAAACATAGTCGGATGTGTACTTATTCGACGTTGCGACTGTGGTCGCGGTATCGGCTTTGCCTTGCGCCTTGCGCCGGGTCACGCCTTTAAACGTTAAGTCTGCGAGACCGGTTGGAGTTGACGGCCGCACTGGTATATTCTTATTATCATTTTTGGGTTGTTTGCTCAAGCAGCCAGGACACAGCCAATTGGACTTAAATGACTCAGTTGTTATGCTACTGTCGGAAGGCGATAAGCTCAGGCAGGTGTAGTCGTAGGCATCATTGCACTTAGTACACTGTAGATATTCTAAGTTGCTTATCTCTGAGCAGCAAGCAGCGCAATTCATTTTAAACATTCACCGTCCAAAACACAACAAAATAATAAGTATTGTATTGTAGCTCCGTAGCGGCGGTGTCGTAGCAAGCAGTAGTCCAATCACAGCTTGTTCAAGCAAGACAAAAAATTGCAACTGACTGTTCCCGCGGGGTTGAAGGCGGTTAGCGGGACGCTGCACTTTACACACGCGCACTTCGAGCAAACAGTTAACTAATAAAAATTATAAAATTTTAACTTTAATGTTAAAGATAGAATGCACTTTATAGTTCTTAGGTGGAAGGTTATTTTCTATTGAATAGTTTACAATTTTGTCAATAAAAAATGTGTGCACGTCTGCTCACTATGAAGTTTCGGACGAGAGGGAAAAAATTACATCAAGACGTGATAATTTTCAGAATTTTTATAATAAATAAATTAGATAATATGAAAAAAGTATTTTTTTATTTAAATTCACATTCATAGCTTTTTAAAATTACAACATGTAAATTTTTAAAATAACTTTTTTACTTTAATTTATCAATTTGAGAGCTGTTGATGGGTAAATTTGAAAGGGTTTTGCTTATAAATAAGTGGAAATTTTCAAAAAAATCGCTTCGTACATCTGTCAATAATAGAATTATGTACCGACGTGCGAAGCGCTGTTTTTTTGATTTTATTTATTTATTTATGAGAAAAACGGTTTTGAAGTTCTCATTCATTGTGAAAAAACGATAGAGACACTTTCATTTGCTCAAAAGAGAACAAGAGAGAAAAAAGACTAAACCGTTCTTAAGAAATATTGTTTTACGTTAAATGTCCGCTAATCATTTATTATAGAATTCGCGATTTTATTTTATCGATCGATTCTTTTCAATAGATATCAATTCAATCGATTCTATCGTTGAAATATAACTATACTTGTTTATTGTCGTGGTTGATTGACGCTGGCTACACACAAGTATACACACACACAACTGAAAAGTGAAAGGCACAAAAACGTAACGAGGTCATTTGTTCAGTAGATTTTACTCCTCATATTTGTTTCATACCGGGGGCCTTATATGAAAATCAATTCTTAAGGAGTAAACTCCAAAAAAATTGTTGCTGGAAAAGCGGTTAATCCTCTTTTTTTATATAAATCAGAATGTAGGTTATTATTTTGAGAAGCCGGGCGATACTGGTATTCGTGGCGCGAAGTCGTTAATAGTACGCGATCCGGTTATTCCATCGGGAGATACAATGGGCCTCATTATATACTCTGTTCAAATATTGTTATACACACAGATAGACAGAGACAACTTGTTTTTAAGAGTACGTTTAAAAGAGGCAGTGCAAATGGTTTGTATTAAGATTAAACTTATTTCAAGATGCAAGTGGGTGTAATTAGCTTTTTCTTGCATTTTTTTAGAACACAGCATATGACACAAAATAAATAAAACATGATAAACAGAGGAGCTCAATGGCGCGTTGGCCAGCGCATTCGGCTGCGATCTGGAAGTTAAGCAAGATTCGCAGTGGTCGTCATTGGATGGGTGACCAAAAATGAGTTCCTCCGTGCTTCGGAAGGCACGTTAAGCCGTTGGTCGCGGCTGCATCTCCAGTCGTTAGCACCCAACAATCCGCACTGGGCTCACGTGGTGGGTCATGGCCCAATCTCCCTATTCCATCCATAGGGACGGCCTATGCCCCAGCAGTGGGGACACTAATAGGCTCATGATGACGATGAAACAGAATGTACACAATATAGGTGGTATTGTTAGGCAACAGCAGTTAATTTTGTACGACTTCAAAGGCCACACTCAAAGAAAATTTATTCTATATGCTCCATTAGGAGCCCTTTTACAAAATTGCGCCGCTGCCGTACTGATCGGCGCGTAGGTAGATTTTTGCACTAGTATATACTGCATTTTACGGGTGATGTTTCGAGTCTTATAAAATAATTATTAATGAACTAATTATACAAATATATACATATTTTAGTAGTTCAATAATGGTAGATTAGTTTTATGAAAGTTTTTGATAGTAATTCTATTTAATTCAATATCAAAATACGAGGTAAACCTGCATTGTTTTTTGGGAAAAGTCACGGACGTTAGATGTTTCTTTTCAATAATTAATGAGATGGAAAATCAAAATTCTAATACATTATGTTACAACAAAAACGTATTTCTGATATCGTAGTAATTTATTTGATCTAATTTATTGAACATTAGAGATTCAGGCGTTTGAAGTTGTGCATATTATCGTTTTTTCCGTAAACTAGCTGCGGTAGAACGATCAGTACAAATAAAGAAAAATAGTATTTGAAACTATTCTACATTAACTTACAATAGGAAGAAAAAATCTACTGTTTATTTCTATTGGAAATAGTCAAAATCTTTTCTAAGGGGGTAAACGAGGCGCTCGAAAAATTACGTTTTTTTTTGCAAAAAATGTGAAAGGGCTCTTAAGTCACGTATCATCTTATTTATAAATTACTATAGCAGAGAAAGTGATAGAATCCACTTTATTAATATATAAAATTTGAATAACGTCTCTTAAAACCTTAATTTATTAAAACATAAATGTACTGACCTTCTTGTGGACCCTGATATTGGTGACGTCCTGGGGTCCGTAGTTATGGAACTGTATCTGCAGGGTGGCCATGGTCCGGGAATAAAGATGTGGGGCCCGGGGCCACATATATTTTGCACCTACTCCACCCCATATTGCCCGCGATACTAGTTCCATCCAGATTTCTGACACTAGAGATGGTCCTACGGGCGTGATGCTGTCACCTCCTATAAAATGAACTATAACTTTTATCATCATCATCAGCCTATTAATGTCCCCACTGCTGGGGCACAGGCCTTCCCTATGGATGGAATAGGGAGATCGGGCCATAACCCACCACGCTGGCCCAGTGCGGGTTGGTGGGTGCTAACGACTGCAGATGCAGCCGGGACCAACGGCTTAACGTGCCTTCTGAAGCACGGAGGAGCTCGAGATAGTAAATTTTTTGGTCACCCATCCAATGACCGACCATTACGAAAGTTGCTCGACTTCAACGACCGCAGCCTAACGCGCTAACCACTGGCGCCATCGAGCTCCTCTCAATAACTTTATTATATTTAAATTTTTAGCATTAAAATACCCTATTTATTAATATAAAGTGTTTTTTTGAAGTTATACTTCTTTAGGCGCGTTATGAAAAAATGATGAGAGTGAAATTTTTAGATGCGCGCGCATCACTGTAACCCAAAAGTAACAGCATGAAGTTGGCCGCGGGCGCGTTATGAAAAAATCATGTGAGTGAAATTTCGAGATGCGCGCGCATCACTGTAACACAATAGTAACACCATGAAGTTGGCCGCGGGCGCGTTATGAATGTTAGTGTCTAATTAGACATCTGTTCGAAAGGTACTTTGAACGATCCACGGAGCTCCATAAGATGATCGCGTTGTCAAAAACAATGTTGGCACGCTCGTCGCCTCTGATCACTGTTTTCATATTTATAATATTTATCCACATGTTTCTAGTTTCTATATAGACACAACGTGTTTTAGTTACTTACAAGTGTTAATTATATATGGACTAATAACTTAAATTCAGTAGTGATTTTAATTGAATATTTTGAATATTTATTTAATTTTTCAAATTAAAACTGAACTTAATTGACTGTGTTAACTATCCTTTTCCAGTCCTTTTATTATTTTATTGTAATTATTAATTATTTGCATGCAATTAAAAAATATGTTTAATGATGCTAAAGAAGTATAACTTCTCACGCGCGTACATAAGTTACACGCATCCATTTTTTAGAAATATGAAAGCGATTGTTATTAAATCGCGCAAAAACAGATTTGGATGGAAGGCTCCAATATTTTCTCCAAACAAATCTACCCAATCTTGTAGTACCTTAAGTATTATCATGCATTTTTGTGTATTAAAATACGCCGAAACCATTAATAATATATGTGGAATTTATTATTCACTTGTACAACATAAAAATTTATTCATGGAAAACAAACAGCATGTTAAAACTAAGGATAAAACGAGATGATGTAGCATTAATATGCCTTATACAGTTTTCACAAATATAACTCAAATAAAATATACTTAATCCAATCGAGGCCGTAGATTAATTTAGAACATAAAAACACAGAAGTAAAAAATTAAGCATAAAGCCATACCCACAGATAAAATGGTGATAGAAATATAAAGTAATTTAAATTAGGTTTTATTATTATTATTAAAAAATTTACTATGCACAATCTTTTTGAAATAATTTTGTCTCGCCAGGAATACGTCCACATCACTTGAATAATTATTATTGAAATTTAGTTTTACTCTATTAAAGTAGGAATTCTGTCTATAATTTGTCGAACATAAATCAGTATGGAATCGCAGATAATTGCGTCTGGCAACTGTACGGAATGGTACCTGGATTTTAACCAATGATAGCAGCTCATTGCTGTCTATCTTGCCGAGAATTAAGTTGTGGAAAAATGTTAGGTCCGCAGCTTCTCTACGCTTACTTAATGAAAGAAGATGTCGTTTAAATATTTAAATTAATGGCAAAACAGTTAATATTTTATGGTAAATGTGTTTCTTTAAATTATATAAATTAAGCTACGGAAATAATAAAAAATAAAGTTTATCGGCAAAAGCTTGAATATAACAAAATATTTTATTCCAAGCAATGATATTAAATACCCTAGATACACCAACACGAACAAAATCATGGCCGAAACCTGTCCAAAAGGTACATTGGACGATCCACGAAGCTCTGTAAGATGATCGCGTAGTCAAAACAATATAAGGCGTTATTTAAACATTGAAAGTCACCTTTAATGCATAATGTGTAAGGTCTTAATTAAAACGCATGCGTCAGAGATATGACATTTCAAAATGGAAGCTCGTAAAATTTTACGACTTATTGCTATATGCGGAAGAATATAGACCTTATTTCTTGGACTCTACGCGCAATTCTGAATGCGCTGTTAGCAATATAGCAGGTACGGACCGCGAGGAAAAGAGACAGCTATATAACCGTCCATGCATTTGAATATCACAAATATTTTATATTAAATCAGTTTATATTAAGTATTAGAACAAAATTTTCTTCACATGTGGTAAATTAACAAACACTTAATAGATACCTGTCGAAAAAGGACACTTTCGTACTATAAGTAATTATTACTCATCTTTTTTCGGAGCTCTGCAGCATATTCACTTTTTAAGGGTCCGCGCGTGAATGTGAACCAAGAAGTGCTTGAGTGGAGTTCAAGCACTTCTTGATTGGAACACATTTTGAGCGCACGTGGTGCATCTAGGGTATTTAATATCGTTGGTTATAATACCAATCTCACCATCTGCCTGGCCCATGGGCGTGGGCGACAGGAAGCCCCCACACGTGGGCGTCATAGTGGGCAGCGTGCCGGCAGCATCGTCCAGTTCTAGCAATAGTTCCAGGTTCGATTTGTCGTTGTTGTTCTTTTGAGGTGGTTCTGGAGGGCGTTCTGATGCCTGTTATTTCGAAATTATTTTTTTACTTAGACAGCTCACTCTTTTTTTTACTTATACCTAAAACATCTATTAAGATGGTTTGCTTAAACCATAAATTAATAATTATTTTCTTAAAGCGTTTAAAGATGGGGAACATTAAAGATGTCAAAAGTACATTGAATAATAATATATTGAATACATACAGTGAATTTTGAGTTATCTGAGACACTTAAAAATTTGTTGACTCATTTATTTGTCATACAAAAAAGTAGAATTTTTTGCCCGCCCACGTGTTCCCCCTTCCTACAATCTCAGACTAGTACAGACTTAAAGCAAAATTCACGGAATGAAATGGAATAGTTTAATAAATTGCTATCCACTCACCTTTTTTTCGTTAATCTTTCTATCGTTCCTGCGGTCGTTCTTCTTCGGAGTCTCTTCATCACTCGAGTTCTGGTCGCTTCCGTCCGATTCGGAGTCCGAATCAGACGAGTCACTGTCCGACTCGCTGTCCGAAGTGCCCGAGTTCGACGAACGGTTGAAGTTGTTGGGTCGCTTCGTCGGCTGCTCAGACTTCTTCTCTTCGTTTGTGCTTTCTTCTCTATTACATACATGGATAGAAGTGATGTAAGCGTTTTGAATGTCAATTTTATAGGGTGGATAGAACAATAACAACAAAATTCCTGCAACTCAAAAAATATTAGATCCTTACATATGAAATTAGCGTGTTGTCGTACTGACCACTTTCATCTGAAATAGCTCCTCTTTGATTAAGAATTCCAAATTCTAATTTATAAATCTCCAGCTGGTACATTTTAGTTTTGAAAACAGTCATTCATTTGTTTTTTTCCTCATTATTTTTTTCTTTGGCTTCGCTTATTACCGCCCTATGGAAAACATAAAATATATAAAGAGTACGAGAGAACGAACCGAATTGTATATATAAGCACCCTTCTTCTTATTCAATTTGTATTCTGCAGCAAGCAAACGAAAACATCGTGGCGAGCAGTGCAGTATTTCAAATAAAATAATAATAAATAAATATTTCCAACACTCACACCAATTAGCCTAGCCCCAAAGTAAGCACGCACTGTAAGGCTTTACAAATGCTCGTATTCATCAGACAAACATCTGCCCCCACCGGGATTCGAACCCGGGAGGGACCTCTCGAGTCGGCGACACCATGAAAACCGGCGTACAAACCACTTGGCCACGGAGGTCGTCATACTTTTTTGAAATAAAGGGTCAAGGTCTGAAATAATACATACTCTTCTGAAGATTCCTCTTCGCTGCTGGAGCTGGATCCCGACGACGAAGAAGATCCTGAGCCACTCGACTCCGGTTCTGAGTAGAAGCTCTTGTCTTTCTGTTGATATCCAAATAATTGCTACAATACATTCGCTACGGTATTCTACGATTAAGTGTCGCCGCACACGGGCCACCGACCACAACAACAAAACGCCGCCACCGGCATATTTCTTGTAGTTTTCATACATTTTATATGAACTCGCCACACGGTACGCCGGTGGCCGCCACACGCTACCAATCGTCGTTGCTCGCTTCTTGTGGCCCGCACCGACCACTTAATGCGCCGATACAAAACGCCGCCACACGTCACTCGCACGATTTCCCACTCCTCTCTCCTTTACCTTAGTCGGCCGCTGTCGCGCGCTTCAGCCACTTTAGTAGCCGCTTCTAGCTTCTCGTGACAACGTTTGTGGCTGTGGCGTGTGGCCTGTGTGCGGCGACACTAATACACTTGTAATGTAAATACACTGGCCTGCAAAACTAAGTATAGCACCTTTAAAAGTGCAATAACTTTTTAAGTACTTACGATAACACTTTCGAAAAAAATGGGTGCGTGTACTTATGTAGGCGCGTGAGAAGTTATCCTTCTTTGGCATCGTTTAAAATTAGTTTTTAGAACATATGTGATTTGCAATTGTATGAAACTCAAACACGTATTCCGAATATACAAACTAGAAACATGTGGATAAATATTATAAATATGAATACCTATAACTGTTAGGGCGCGGGGAGGGGACGGTACCCACGTACTGTGTGATACTCACGCGCGCGGGTGTGGGTGCGGGCGCGGGTTCAGTCGGTGCGGGCGCGGCGGGGGGCGCGGGGAGGGGACGGTACCCACGTACTGTGTGATACTCACGCGCGCGGGTGTGGGTGCGGGCGCGGGTTCAGTCGGTGCGGGCGCGGCGGGGGGCGCGGGGAGGGGACGGTACCCACGTACTGTGTGATACTCACGCGCGCGGGTGTGGGTGCGGGCGCGGGTTCAGTCGGTGCGGGCGCGGCGGGGGGCGGGGGGCGCGGGGAGGGGACGGTACCCACGTACTGTGTGATACTCACGCGCGCGGGTGTGGGTGCGGGCGCGGGTTCAGTCAGTGCGGGCGCGGCGGGGGGCGCGGGGAGGGGACGGTACCCACGTACTGTGTGATACTCACGCGCGCGGGTGTGGGTGCGGGCGCGGGTTCAGTCGGTGCGGGCGCGGCGGGGGGCGCGGGGAGGGGACGGTACCCACGTACTGTGTGATACTCACGCGCGCGGGTGTGGGTGCGGGCGCGGGTTCAGTCGGTGCGGGCGCGGCGGGCTGGCGGGCGGCGGCGCCGAGGGGCGCGGCGGGGGGCGCGGGGAGGGGACGGTACCCCGCCGCTGCGGTGCCTACGTACTGTGACAGGGAGCCTAGCGCGAACTGACCCCGATCTGGAAATCAAAAAATATATATACAGGCACGGCTACCTAACACGGAGGGAAAGATTAATATATATTGAAGATAGGATACTTTACTGAAAGAAGAAATCATTTTATTTTTAATAATAACTAGAACTGCATTCACAGATTTTTTTTAAAATCGCCTGCTACAACTGAGAATCAAACTCGTGAAATTTGGAATAACCATCGAAAGGGTTAATAATAAGGATTATTTTTTGCTAAATAACATAGCATTTTAAATGAAAAAAAAAGTGATTAATTTTAATGTTTTAAGTATTTAAAATTATTTAACACAGACTTATATAAAATCGGATATGCCTCAAAGTAAGTTAAAATGTTGAGTTCATCATCGCTGAAGTTTATCATTTCTTAAAGTATCCACTAACATTTTAAACACATATCGATAAGGTACGACACTATCAGGATATCTTTGATTCTATTCTTTGGATCCGGAATGGTGATGTACTTCAATCATTGAAGCACTGACTTTCTCTTATTCCTTTTATTTATTTTATTTTTAGTTTATAGTAAGTATTATTATCCATATTAATACAAAATTCGATCAACTAAATATTTATTATCAAAATGTTAGAAGTATACGTGGTAAATTACATGAATTATATATATCTAGTCTTAACCAAAGTTACGATGTAATTGTTTTGACGGAGACTTGGCTTAATGACAGTGTATTTGATGCGGAAATTCTAAATAATAACTACCGGATTTATCGTAGAGATCGCGCCACTACATCTTCTATCAAAAAGGACGGAGGTGGAGTCCTTATAGCTGTCTCTAATAATCTTACGTCTTCTCGTCTTCCATACTTGGAAAGCAGTTCTGAGGATTTATGGGTTTCGATCACCGACTCCAAGGGAGTTTTAGGTAAATTAGTTATATGGGCCTTATATCTCCCACCACCTGTATCCTCAGTAGACCTCGATAATTTACTCAGCAGTATTTCTAGTGGATTATCTTCACTAGACATTCACGATAAAATGTTAATCATGGGCGACTTTAATCTGGGAAATATTGAATGGGTCCCATGTCAATCAATGTCATCGTCAGCTATGTCTCCCAAATTCAGAAATTGTATTCTCTATCAATCCTTGTCTGATTTCATGTCATTAAATAATCTAACGCAATTTAATAATATTATGAATGGGAATAATAAACTGCTAGATTTAGTTTTCTCAAGTGGTTCATCTGTTAATGTTGATTTTGTAGATGATCCTCTTGTGAGTCTTGATACACATCATCCATCGATTAATATTAATATTGACTTTACAGTTCATAAATGTTTGAAAAAGCAGACAATTTTAAAATTTAATTTCTATCGTGCAGATTATGCTCAAATTAATAAAAAATTTGATTGTGTTGATTGGGATCAAGAACTCAGAAATACAGACTCAGTCGATGCTATGGTTAATTCATTCTACTCTATAGTCAATCAAACTATAGAAAGGTACGTACCTAAAGTTTCTGCAAAATGTAATAAGTATCCTGCATGGTACTCTAAAAACCTTATTCAAATGCTTAAAGAAAAGGAAAAATTACGGAAGAGACTAAAGCTTTATAATAATCCTGTAGATGATTTTGAGTTCAAAGAGGCAAGATATAGATGCCATTTACTAATAAAAAAATGTTACCGTCGATATTTGTATAATATTGAAAACTCTATTAGCAAGAATAACATTAAAGCCTTCTGGAGCTATGTCAAAAACAATCGCAAAAAAGCCGTTACGATGCCCTCTGTAATGCATTTGGATAATACGAAGTTTGATACTCCTCAGTCAATTTGTAATGCCTTTGCACAACACTTCTCATCGGTATACGTGGCTAATGATCCTGCTATTCTAATGCCACACGTTGGCAGTACATCTTATGACAATAATAATTCCCTTTCTAATATATACCTGTCGGTAGAATGCATTGAAAAAGCGATGAAGAATCTTGATCCAAGGAAAGGTCCAGGTCCGGATGGAGTGCCAGCCATATTCCTAAAAAACTGTGCTTCTTCTCTATCATATCCGCTAAATATTATTTTTAATAATTCTTTATCTACTGGTGTTTTTCCGTTAGTTTGGAAATGGGCTAATGTCTTACCAATTCCTAAATCAGGAAATACGAGCGACGTGCGTAATTATAGACCTATTTCCTTATTATCTAGTTTTCCTAAACTGTTTGAAAAATTAGTGTACCCATATTTTACAAATCATCTTGGATCCATCCTTGTTCCTCAGCAGCACGGTTTTCGTCAAAAGATGTCTACAATTACAAATCTGACATGCTATGTAAATGAATTAAGTTTTGAACTGGATCAGGGTCGACAGGTGGATGCGGTGTACACCGATATAAGTAAAGCATTCGATAAGGTTAATCACTCTATAATGCTGAAGAAATTATGCTTGGCAGGTGTTCACGGCTCTTTGTTAGACTGGTGTCATTCTTATCTTTCTGAGAGATATCAAAAAGTAGTTACTTGTGGATATGAATCTGATTATATTCTGGTTTACTCAGGAGTTCCTCAGGGATCACATTTGGGACCTCTCTTTTTTCTAGCATTTATAAACGATCTGGTTCGAGTTATTAGGTACTCAAGTTGTTTATTGTTTGCCGACGATCTTAAAATATACAAAACTGTCCAAAATTCCAATGATGCAGAGCTTTTACAAAAAGATCTGGACCAAATAGCGGCTTGGTCACACGCAAATATGCTTCCTTTTAATCCTGACAAATGTAAGCATATAAAATTCACTAAGAAACGATTTCCGGTTAAGTCTATATATTCTATAAATTCCCAAGTTCTTGAAGAGGTATCGTCCATTCAAGATCTCGGTATTGTTTTGGATAAAAAATTACTTTTCACTCATCATTTTGACCATATTATATCTAAGAGTTTAAAAATGCTGGGATTTCTTTGGCGTAGTTGTAAGCGGTTTAAAAATGTTGAAGCATTGAAACTTCTATACTTTGCTTTGGTACGCAGTTCCTTGGAGTATTGTTCTGCTATTTGGAATCCTCTTTATGAGTGTCATAAAAGCAGAATTGAAAGAATCCAAAAAAAGTTTTTGTCTTTTCTAACAAGACACCAGGGAAAAAGATATGAACTCATCTCATATAAGGATAAATTGGAGTATTTCGAGTTGGTTTCATTGCGGAAACGCAGATGGGTTGCTGATCAGATTTTACTGTATAGAATTCTGAGAGGTAACATTGATTGTCCTCAACTTCTTAGTGAAATTAGTTTTAATATACCACGACCAAATTTCAGACCAGCCAACTATAAATTATTTAATTTAAAAACTTATAAAACCAACCTGGGTACGCAGAGTGTTTTAAATAGGATTTGTGAAGAACATAATAAAATCTGTACTGGGTCCTTGGTAGGCGTTGATTTGTTCGCTGCGTCATTGATTGCATTTAGGAGGGCTTTGCTATCGAGCATTGATTGTGGCACTTGATTATAGTTTAGTTTTATGTATGTTTTTTTTTTTATACCTAGTTTAGTTTTATATCATTAATTTTGACAGAAATAAGAGTTGTGTATGCCTGTAACTGTTTTTGCACAACTTTATGTATAACGTATGTTTTTTTTAATTATGTTGGGTGTAAAAATGTTGGCATGCCTGATAAATAAATAAATAAAAAATAAATATCTTTCGCGATATCACCGCAAAGCTAACATGGCTTTGTGGTTCATAAAGTAAGCTTCTTCGGCCTAAAGATTCTAACACGCCATTTATAAAAAAAGCGAGTGTGCTTATGACCACACAGCTGAAGTGAAACTTCTTTAACTCCAATGATCTAAAAATCAAACTTAACCTGAAGATTTGGTGCTAGAAAAAAAAATACCAACAATCCGCGCTGGGTAACGGACCCATCACCCACCAAGCACTAGTATTTTGATTCATGAACTATTCATGTATTTTGTGATGGGTATTGTTCATTGTTTACCGAAAAGTCACCGGTTTACGCGTTACGCGCGTAACGCAAAAATCGTCACACTTTCGCCAGTTTACCCAAGTCAAGCGTGCTCAAAGAAGTTTCACTTCAAAAATACTTACATCAAAACTGAACACGCGTTACCTTTAAAACTACTTTCCACAGAGGGCTTAGGCTTGTCCGGCCTAAAGATTCTAACACGCCATCTATATAAAAATACTTATATCAAGACCGAACACGCGTTACCTTTAAAACTACTCTCCACAGTGGGCTTAGGCTTGTCCGGCCTAAATATCTGCGCGGCGTACTGCGGCAGCCGTTTCCCCGGCTGCGGTTCTATGAAACGCCGCAGCATCCGCGCGCGATCTCTGACGTCATAGCTGGCATCGTAACGCTTGTTACCTTACCGCGTGTTACCTTTAAAACAACTCTCTACAGTGGGCTTAGGCTTCTCCGGCCAGATTCTAACACTCCATCTATAACCAAATAACTAACATCAACAACTAAACACGTCTTATCTTTAAAGCCACTTTCCACAGTGGCCTTAGGCTTCTCCAGCCTAAAGATTCTAACACGCCATCTATAAAAAAATACGTACATCAAGACTGAACACGCGTCACCTTCAAAACTACTCTAAAGATTTTAGCACGCCATCTATAAAAAATACTTACATCAATCAAGAGTGAACACGTGTTACCTTTAAAACTACTCTCCACAGAGGGCTTAGGCTTGTCCGGCCTAAAGATTCTAACACGCCATCTATATAAAAATACTTACATCAAAACCGAACACGCGTTACCTTTAAAACTACTCTCCACAGTGGGCTTAGGCTTGTCCGGCCTAAATATCTGAGCGGCGTACTGCGGCAGCTGCTTCCCCGGCTGCGGCTCTATGAAACGCCGCAGCATCCGCGCGCGATCTCTGACGTCATAACTCGCGTCGTACCGCGCCAGCGATATTATGTACTGGCATACTGGTAAAGTGTCCGGCTGGGTGATGGATAACTTCACGGCTAAAGACAGGAGCTGTAGCTTTACGAGCTCATCCTGAGATAAGAAAGGAAACACTTATCATCATCAGCAATGTCCCCACTGCTGGGGGCTTCCTCTATGGATGGAATAGGGAGATTGGGCAATCACCCACCACGTAGGCTCAGTGTAGATTGGAGAGTGCCAACGACTGCAGACGCAGCCAGGTCATGAATATTACCAAAGATCATTAAAAAAAAAATTATAGTTTATTTCAACAAATCAAAAAGTTTACTGTGTTATTTAAAATTGCATTGGTGAATAATTAATAACACTAGGCGCGTATGTACGGTTTCCTGATCAGGAATTCAGATTTTCAGATTCAGCGGAATTTCGTGAGCCTAGCGCAGACGGCTGGTTTTTTTTATTATTAGGTAGTTTCTGAAATGAACGTTGGGTTTTTTCCATTCTAGAATAAAATAAGAATAGTGTGTGCGTCCCTTGAACATTTTGTATTTAAGAACGTGCATTCAGGAAACCGTACATACGGGCCATGCCTTATGGCGCGATTACATTTGGATGTTAGCCCAAATACGAGTGCCAATGGAATTCGGGTAAATGAATGGAGTCAAGTATGTCCGTAGTCGGGTAGATTTCCTTTTGTTTTCGACATCGTCTCCCGGCCCGTATACAAGTGTAAATATTGCTTCGGGTGGTCGAATTCCAGTAATGACTTTCGTGCACCCGAATAAGGGTGAACGACCAAATATAATTGCGCCATTAATGATGAAACTTTAAATGTTAATAACATTTAAAGTAAAGTAAAGCGTTTTTTATCGTGGTCTTTTTTACAACTAAAAACTTCAAAAAAAAAACAAAAATCATTTATTCAGTCTAGGCTGTTACAAGCACTTGTGAAGGTCAAGAAGCTACTCCATCGGTTCGTAAAACTACGGCGGGAGACCTTGTACTGAGAAGAACCGGCAAGAAACTCAGCAAGGCCTGTTTTTTTCTCCCTGTATTGTTTCAAACAGAGTAGTGAAGTTGAAAAACTACTTCAGAGATACTTCCGAAGTCACCTTCTATTACATCATTTAGATTAACTTCAGATTTATTTAAAAACTAGCGGCCCGCCCTCACTTCGCTTCGGTGTAGAGCTGAAGTGTAGACTACAGTTTTTGTTCTCAGGCTTGTATTATACACAATGACATTCATCTATGATTCTTCTTATACCTGCATTTAAAGGCTCAGCCCGATCGGCTTAAAATTGACAAAGTTTCATACAAACTTTCTTTTTTCTCTATTTTATCCCCTTGGGGGTAGAATTGATTAAAATCCATTCTTAGCGGATGCCTACGTCATAACATCTACCTGCATGCCAAATTTCAGCCAGATCCGTCCAGTGGTTTGGGCAGTGCGTTGATAGATCACTATGTCAGTCAGTCACCTTTGAGTTTTATATATATAGGTAGATAATTTCGTCAAAATAAGTGTTTATCTGTTACCTGGTCAGCGAAGTTGGCAGCCATATGCGCCAATATGGCGGCGGCGCGGGCGTGTTCCGCACCGTGTTCTGCCACCAGCCAAACCGCTGCAGCGCGGGCGTTAGCGGCCAACCTAACGAGGCGGAAAATCTAATATATAAAATTCTCGTGTCGCGTTGTTTGTGGTTAAACTCCTCCGAAACGGCTTTCCCGATTCTCATGAAATTTTGTGTGCATATTGGGTAGGTCTGAGAATCGAACAACATTTATTTTTCATCCCCCTAAATGTTAAGGGTAATCCACCCCTAAATTTTTTTTCAATTTTAGATATATTTTTTTTAATTTTTTTATGATACATCGTACACAAATACATACAACCCTAAATTTTCACCCTTATACCACCAACCCCTATTTTTTTTATGGCGGTACGAAGTTCGCTGGGACAGCTAGTCTTATATATAAAATTCTTGTGTCACAATGTTAGTTACCATACTACTCCGAAACGGCTTGACCGATTTTTATGAAATTGCAAATATTCTACATTAACTTACTAAAGTAAGAATAAATCTACTATTTATTTCTATTGGAAATAGTCAAAATCTTTTCTAAGGGGGTAAAAAATTACGATTTTTTGAAAAAAATGTGAAATGGCTCTTAAACAATCCAACAATATAACAACGGTTACCTGTCAGCACGAAGCAATTTAGCAGCACGGGCAACGGCAGCTCTGGCTGATGCGGCCCCTCCCCCCACCACTCGCTTCACTACCACCACCGCTTCGCAAACCAGCCACTCTACATAAAGAAATAAGCCGAAAAATGGGTGTGCTCTCATGAAACGACAATGAGAGTGAAACTTTTAAAAATCCTATTAATTTTGGAAATAAGAAAGTGCGTATGTTTGTTGCTTAATCACGCTGAACAAAAAACTGTTGAACGAATTCGGATGAAATTTTAGTGCAGTTAGAGTTTATGGCCTGGATTGAGACATAGGTTACTTTTTATCTCGGAGAAATGTTAGGTTGTCGAGGGATTTGCAAAAAACTAAAGTAAACACGAAGTTGCGGTCGACCGCTAGTCATTAATAAAAAAAGTCCTTCCTCGGTTTGGAATCGACCCCGGGCCGCCCGCGTAGAAGGCGAACTTTCTACAATACAAATTGAAAATGTAATTCGCAGGCTAGATGAAAGAAAAAATTATGGCGATTATTTAAAAAAAAACATGTAAATGCGGACCGTGCTAATTCTGGAATTACTAAGAAAAATACGTGGATCATCCCAAATGTAGCACAACGCGTAGCAGCAAACGTCGTTCTAAAGAAAAAAAAAATGCTCTGGAGCTCTATTTTTGAATCACTCGTCTGACATAGTATCGTCGAATGCGACATAAGTCACTTTCGACTTTCAAGTCGCATAATACTGATTTTCCGTATTTTTGAATCACTCGTCACCAGTGTTACCTGTTTGATACGAAATACGAAATTTTACTCATTTCACGCAGAAATAATAAAAACCGGTAATTACTACTACTCTTTGTCGTTTCATATAAAGCATGACAATGATAGATTATCGTCGTCTAATACCACAAAAAAATTGACAATTATTCTATCATTCGCCTCCACCATTCGCCATGCAGCGAGTGGTCTCACCCATTCGTGGCACTCGAGCGATTCAAAAATACGGAATTATTATGTCGAATGAAATTAAGTAGAAATCGAGCGTTCGACGCAAGACGAGTGATTCAAAATAGAGCTCCTGGTAGATGTCACACTGAACGCGGGATTGTTGCGGCCTGTAAAACCGAACAAACGAACTTACAACAAGAACGAAAAGCATAGAAGATCTAGTGTTTATGGAAGTGCCATAGATAAATATGATGTAAAGATTTCAGACAAAATTAATACAGATCGCTATCTTTTTTTTAACTCATCATCGAATTTTAGTCACATTATATTGTTTTAAACTTTCATGGTCACTAACATTATAGTAATACTAGCAAACCAGTAAACCAAATGTTCACAAAAAAAAAATGTATTTAATTAATTGAGACTTCGGAGATTTTGTGTGGTTTCGTTTGAAATAGAAATCACGTGATTTTTTCGAAAACCAGAAGTGCTACGTTACTCACATCCGGTTTGTAGTCTTATCAGACTATTCTTAACTTATAACTTAAACATTCTCTATATCTATCTCTTACGGTTTGGCCGCTGAAACGGACGGACGGACTTGTCTAATAGATAAGAGATAAGTTATTTACGGGATTCTATTTATCGAAAACTTGCTAAAAACAAGGTACATGGTAACAATCCCGTAAATAACTTATATTTAGTCACATTGTTCGGTATCAACCAGCAATTACTTATTCTAAATAAAAGCTTCAGCACAAAATTCTAAAGTGCAATATTCCTGTGACGTTCCTCATTAACCACGAAACGCTGTCGTGAATGATCGACTAAGAAGGAAAAGTGTGTTAATGTCAGTCAATGAATGAAATTCGCCAACTCACCATCTTTGCTGGATAGCAGATGCAGTAGTCCATTCAGGCAGGTCTCAGTCTCGGAATGTATGGCGACAGCGAGTCTCCCTATAGCCTGTATAGTGGCTGTAGCGAATGCCTTGTCACTAGAAGTGACATAGGTCTGAAATTCGCGCAGAACCACTGGAGCGCTGGCTTCCGTGGCTAAGTTCGTGAGTATCTCCAACTTGAGGAGTTTGATGTGAGTAGGGTCGGATGTGCGCACAAAGAACGATTTGAGGAACGGCTCGAATAACGACTGGACAAAAGGAAATAAAGAATTGTTATAAACTTCCGTCTGGTCCTGATATACTAAGCTATGATAATAATATTTCCACACTCACACCAATTAGCCTAGCCCCAATATAAGCACTGCAAGGCTTGTGTTATGGGATACTAGGGTAACGGATAGATTATTTATACAGGATGGTCCAATTAGTGACGTCAACACATTTTTTTTAGATTCCTCGCACCTGGGGGTATCCGGAAATACCCGATGTATATTCCGCGATTTTTCTTAGTTTTCGAGTTATATTTTTTTTTGTGTATTTTTTAATGATTTCTGCCAGCGAGGTTTCAAATATTCATATACTTTTTCGTAGTAGGTATTTTGCAGTTTTTCTTTTGTGACATAATTGTTTTGAATGTTATTTTAATAAAAAAATAACTCAGTTTGAAAGTTGGAAGTGTGGTTTATAGTAGGATTTACTCAAACATATAACTTCAATTTAAAAATACAAAAAGGAGTTTCTATAGCTTCTGACTAAATTTCAAAGATCCACATGATTCTAAACTACCAAAAATAAAATTAAAAAGTACTTAATCAGCCTATTTTGTTTGTAATTGGCCTTCGAAGGCGGATAGGCTAAAAACCATTGAAACATGAGTAAAGCATTAAAAATTATTTTATCTACCTTTTATCATTGTTATGGTAAATTGAACTTAAAAATGTAATATCAATAATATAACTGTTTTCAGATTGGAGGAAGGATTTTTGATAATTTACTATAATAAATAGTCCTTTCAGTAATTTGTGCTTTTTATTTGTTATCCAAAAACAGGTAATTTTTGATTTTTATTCTTGCTCAGATTTTGAGTCATAGTGAAGGATCCGAAAATATTGTAAAATTACACATGCTAAGGTTATATTATTGAAATTACATTTTTCAGTTTAATGGTAAATTACAATTACAAAACAATGATAAAAAGTAGATAAAATATTTTTTAATGCTTTAATCGTATTTCAATGGTTTTTAGCCTATCCGCCTTTGAAGGCCAATTACAACAAAAATAGGCTGATTTTTTGGTTTTGGTGGTTTAGAAGCATGCAGAGCTTTTAAATTTAGTCACAATTCGGACACCCGAAGGTGCGAGGAACCTAAAAAAATTTGTTGACGTCGCTAATTGGACCACCCTGTGTGTGATACATATTATACAGGGTTAATTTTAAAACACCAACAACCTCTTAAGGGGTGATTCTACCCATCAGCAGGAGCAACTTAAACTCGACCGAAATGTATGAAACAGCAGATTTTTTTTTCGCGCTATTAGAGTTGGTCCCATAATAAAAGTTGTTCCTGTTGAGATTGTTAACGAATTAAAATCGAAGACAATTTCTTAACCTTTCTAGTTCAATAAATAATTTTAAGACTTGACTCACCGGTTTGGAGACAGTGAGTGAAGCGATGGCGTTGAGCACGACGCTTTGCACTTCAGCGGGCGCTCTGAGCAGACGAATCATCGCTTTTCCCACTGGGGGCAACTCTTGAACTAAATAAATGCGAACGAAATATATTAATAAAGACTTAAAATTCTTCTTCATAATTTATAATATTCATTATCATCATTGTCAGCCTAGTAATGTCCCCTCACTGCTGGGGCTCAGGCATTGCCTATAGATGGAATAGACAGATTGGGCCATGACCCACGATTGATGATTGGCGCTAACGACTACAGATGTAGCCGGGACCAACGGCTTAACGTGCCTTCCGAAGCACGGAGGAGCTCAAGATAGTACCAGTACCAAAGTAGTACCAAAAATTAGTCACCCATCCAATAACCGACCACAGCGAAAGTTGCATAACTTCAACGATCGCAGCCGAACGCGCTTACCACCTGCGCCATCGAGCTCCTCAGACTACAGCCTAGACTAACTAAATGAATTTGAAAGCTCACCTGGTCCCGCGTGGCAGTACAGCTGCGCGACGCCGAGCACGACGCCGGCGTTGCGCGACTGCAATAGAGGCCGGGCGGCACGTAACTACAGCCTGTAGTCGGGCTCCAGCTCACCTGGTCCCGCGTGGCAGTACAGCTGCGCGACGCCGAGCACGACGCCGGCGTTGCGCGACTGCAATAGGGGCCGGGCGGCACGTAACTACAGCCTGTAGTCGGGCTCCAGCTCACCTGGTCCCGCGTGGCAGTACAGCTGCGCGACGCCGAGCACGACGCCGGCGTTGCGCGACTGCAATAGGGGCCGGGCGGCACGTAACTACAGCCTGTAGTCGGGCTCCAGCTCACCTGGTCCCGCGTGGCAGTACAGCTGCGCGACGCCGAGCACGACGCCGGCGTTGCGCGACTGCAATAGAGGCCGGGCGGCACGTAACTACAGCCTGTAGTCGGGCTCCAGCTCACCTGGTCCCGCGTGGCAGTACAGCTGCGCGACGCCGAGCACGACGCCGGCGTTGCGCGACTGCAATAGAGGCCGGGCGGCACGTAACTACAGCCTGTAGTCGGGGTCCAGCTCACCTGGTCCCGCGTGGCAGTACAGCTGCGCGACGCCGAGCACGACGCCGGCGTTGCGCGACTGCAATAGGGGCCGGGCGGCACGTAACTACAGCCTGTAGTCGGGCTCCAGCTCACCTGGTCCCGCGTGGCAGTACAGCTGCGCGACGCCGAGCACGACGCCGGCGTTGCGCGACTGCAATAGGGGCCGGGCGGCACGTAACAACAGCCTGTGGTCGGGGTCCAATGCCGGCGAGCTTGACCCGCGGGGTCGGGAGCGCCCGGAGCTGTCCGTGTCGTAGAACGGCTTGTCGGAGTCGCTGTCGCTGGAGTATTTCTAGTGGACACATCGGCGAATCGTTAAACCGACGTACTATCACCACAATGGGGAAGAAAACTGCTAATTTATCCCGGCAAAGACTTATAACAACAAATCGAGACAGGTGCCAAAGTCATAAGGAAAACCGAGAAATTCCGACAGACTTGGGCTACGTTCCAAACTTACGCTCCGGGTGCAACAAATGACTTACGTTTCACACATTTCATGTCAACATTGAATCGTCAGGATATAAAGTTACACTCATAGGTTTAGATATGGTAGGTCATGAAGTGACAGATTGCTTGTTATGGGACAAACTACTAAAGCGCCATCTGTAATAAGCTTTTCGTTTTCTTCCCCATTTGATCCCTGACCAGGTAATTTATACAAGTTCATCTTCTCACAAACACTTATATAACGCACAAGCAATAACGTTAAAATTCATAATATACAATAAACAATAAAAAATCATTCTCCTAATTAAAAATCGAAAGTTTTCCTACTACTCGCCGAAAAGTTAAAAAATTATATCGGAATTCAACCCATTCTTAAAATTTTAACTAAAAACAAAATCTGCTGTGTTGATTAAAAAGGCCAAATTTCAAGGATATTTCATCCATATTTGTGTAGTTTTGGTTGAGTACAATGAGGGACGATGAAAACCATTGCTTGGTCACAATTTTTCTCAATCAATCTTATTTTAAGCAAGATAAAGTTCAAATCAGTTACAGAAATTTGTAAATTTTGATAGCATATCCTGTAACTTGAGGTCCAATTTTGACAGCTCCGTAATCATGTCGTCATTGTCAGACCAGGTTATTTTGTTTAGTTTTCATAGAGACTCTGGCCTCTGTACCTGTCTGTAAATCACATAAAACAGACTTTTGATTATATTTGCTTTAGATTTAAATATCGAGCAGTTACATGCCTAAAAAATAAAAAAAATCATACTTGTAAAGTTATTCATTTGACATTGTGGATTACCTACATTGCGAAGAAATGGCGCTGCCTTGCAGCTTAAGAAAGGCTAGAACTAATTAGACATGGCCATCAGGGCCGCGGTAGCATAATGGTCAGACTTTTGAATATTCTAAATATTAAACAACGAAATACAGAAGAGATCTCACCTCACTATTGGGATCCGGAAAACAGGTTTTGGCATAAACAGTGAGTACGTTGAGTAGCGCCAGCTGACCCCATTCATCCACGTCCGCTAACAGCGAACATAGCTTCCTATAAGAAATGATAAAAAAAACACGCAACACTCAACAGTAAATAACGAAGTTGAAATTTGCATATAATTCGAATTCTGTCCAGAGACTCAAGCACGAATTTTGACAGCTCTGTAATAGTATCGCATCGCCAAAGTTTCTATGAAAACTAAACAGCGCCCCCAGGATGTAAGAACAAACTGGCTTCTACCGTACAAAACAGGCTATTTGACAGTAGGAAATATAATGTAATAATTGTTGGCATCTGTATTTAATATGAATATTACCAGCGATTTAACTATTTTGAAGGAACAAATAATTAATAACATTTCTATAAAATCATTAAATAGAAACGATTTTTTCGCTCCACATGGTCACGTGACCGTAAACGCCTGGGATTGGCCAAAACTGAAATGACGTCACATGCTAGTATACTTCCGTCCAAAGTGACATTACATTGTATAGTTTGACGTTTTAAAGATTCTAATTTAGTTTTTTTACTGAACTTTTTTACATGGCAGAATTAAAAATAATCTCTATAAACATTAGTTAATAACGTGAGATCGTTTTCGAAAACTTGTCAAATACCCGATTTGGCGACGACGACACGATTACGGAGCTGTCAAAATTCGTGCTCGAGCCTCTGTATCTGAATAAAGTTATTAAGTACTTCTATTACCGTGTAAGCTCTATCGCCGAAAGTTGACTTATTATCAAACATGCAACCACCTAGTTGGCATTACTTTTTATTTATATATTTTACATCTTATAATATCTTTCCAAGCTTCTATGTATGTTCATCAATTTGTATGCTTAATGTACTCAGATGATTTCTGTTTACGAAACGAATCATGATCAGCCTATTAATGTCCCCACTGTTTGGGCACAGACTTTCCCTATGGATGGAATAGGGAGATTGGGCCATGAGCCACCACGCGGGCCCAGTGCGGATTGGCGGGTGCTAACAACTGCAGATGCAGCCGGGACTAACGGCTTAACGTGCTTTCCGAAGCACGGAGAAACTCGAGTTAGAAGATTTTCGGCCACCCATCCAATGACCGACCATTGCGAAAGTTGCTTAACTTCAACGATCGCAGCCGAACGCGCTAGCCACCTACGCTATCGAACTCCTCCAATCGAATACGTTAAAATAAACATGGCGAATAGGGTATTTGACAGTATTAAAAATAAAGTGGCAATTGTTAGCATCTGTGTTTAGAATGAATATTGGCAGGGGTTTTTACTATTTTTATTTATTTAAAAAAAATCATAATTTTACTAAAAACCCACGAAAACAATAATAGTTTTCTTATATCACGTGACTCAAAACGCTTGGGATTGGCGGAGCCAAAAATGACGTCACACGCAGGTAAACTTCCGGTTAAAGTGACGTTACATTGTATCGTTTGACGTTTTAATAACAGTCGTGTGACGTCACACTCTAGTAAGACGCCATATTGTCCAGAGACACTTTTCACGGCAACTTGAAAATGGAGTTTTTGACATGGTTATTTTTTACTGAAATACACAACAGAGTGATGAATATCCACTTTTTACGGTTTCCATAAACATTATGCAATAACGTCGTTTTCTAAAACTTGTCAAATACCCTATATTAACTAAACTAATTAAAAAGATAATTTGTAATTTACCGTCATCGCGCTGAGTTTGAGTCAGTTACCTTTTTATGTTTAAAGAGAAGCAAACAAGCATATGGCCTGCCTGATGGTAAGCGGCCACTATAAGTCTATAAATGCTTGCGATCAACGATTTTAAATACCCTAGATACACCAACTCGAAAAAAATCGTGCCCGAAACCTGTCTAAAAGGTACATTGGTCGATCCACGGCGCTCCGTAAGATGATCGGGTAGTCAAAAACAATTTAAGGCATTATTTAAACATTAAGAGTCACCTTTAATGCATACTGTATAAGGTCTTAATTAAAACGCAAAACGTCAGATAGAGATCATAGGGAGGAGTAGAACCGCCCAACACAAGCATTACCACATGCTTCCTGTGTAGTTCTGGCCACAGAATAATATTGTAAAATAAGGTTAACGAAACAAACTATTTTATTTATTTATTTAAAAAATAGCTATGACAGTTCGTAATGCAAGCTTGTAAAAATTTACGACTTATTCCTATATGCGGAAGAATATATATATACCTTATTTCTTAGATTCTACACGCAATTCTGAATGCGCTGTTAGCAATGGACCGTGAGGAAAAGAGACGGCTATCTTACCGACCATGCATTTGAAAATCACAGATATTTTCTATTAAATCAGTTTATAGTAAGTATTGTTTGAATACCTGTCGAAAAAACGACACTTTTCACACCTTTCCATATATTTTTGGCATTTTTTCACAGAGCTCACTGTGAACCAAGAAGTGCTTGAGTGGTGTTCAAGCACTTCTTGATTGGGACACATTTTTTCCGCGCGTTGTGGATCTAGGGTATTTAAAATCCTAGCTTGCGATACAAAAATATCACTCGCCCCGTTGCCTAATTTGATCCAATCCCTTACCCCTTGGAGCCCTAAAACCTTACTCACCGACAGAAACATGACGCCATCAAATATAGTGTTATTTTACTGTCTTTTGTAAGTTAGAAGCGTTCCGATTCGAGCGGAAAATTCCCTAACTGTTATAAAAATAAAATAAAGACAAACTATAAAATCACACAGAAGTTTAGTGATACCTGTAGCTCTTGTGAATGAGACTCATCCTATCCGGGCACACCTCGGAGAAGGCCATCGCTGCGGAACCCACCACGAGTGGTGCTTTGTCCGACAGCAGCTTGTCTATAATGGCCACCAGTTCTTCCTTCTGTTCGGGATCTAGGCTATTAAAAACAACAATAAGATTTAAACTATGGGGTCACAGTCTATAAAAATTACTTTATTATTTATAAAATGATCTGAAGAGTCAATACACTTATAATTTATTCATCAGTTTTAAAACCATTTAGGATAAAATACTCTAGTTAAGGACTTGAGTAGACTAAGGAAGGAATGCTGCCTGGTCCGCGTGGATTTTTTTCTAGTTATATTTTCTTTAGATTTAAACATCAAGCAGTTACATGCTTTAAAAATAATAAAAATTATAAGGAAGGAATGTTTAAATTTTTATTACTTGGTAAAAAAGGATACAGTTGGCTTCATTCTGTAAACTTAAATCTTAATAAGCCAGTCTGGCTTATTAAGATTTAAGTAAAATAACACAAATTTGGTACACATATAACTTGGATTGAGACATAGAATACTTTAATGCCGATAAAACGTTAGGTTCCTGTAGGATTCTCTAAAAGCTCAAAATAACTCGGACTTAGTCGCGGTCGGCCGCTAGTATTAAATAAAATTAAAAGTTAAGAGAATCATGTCAGAAATAATAAGATTATAGTAAATCAAAATCAACGAATGATGCATGGAAAATCTTTGTGAGATAAGGGTTAGATTTCAACCAGAGACAAAGAGATTGGACTATCTTCACGTCTGAACTTCACCATCACTTAACATCAGGTGGGCTGGAGTCATTTGTCGGACTTATCTATATAAAAAAAACTGAACGACACACGCTCGAAATTTAAAATTCTCTAGAAATAGAAAACACAATAGTGCAGCCCAAATATTAACTATACAGGACGCACTATAGCTTCGCTTTTTACACACTTACCTGGCCAGTGTTACTTAACAAAAAGGGAATGCTCATTCCATTACCTTTGTTTATGATTTCAGTACGTACCTATAAAGCTTGGGTATGGCGTGCGCAGCGGTCTTTCTGACGTACGGACTCATATCGCTCGCAGAGTCCCGTATCGCCAACATTACAATAGGCACTATCATCGTCACGCGAATCGATGATAGAACGCGTAATGCACTAGCCCGAATCAGCTGGTTTGGATCCTGTGCGATATGCGTTTATACCAAAAATAAATAAATATCCAAAAATAAAGCATCAATAAATTAAAAGCTATACTATCAAAATAGTTCTTATGAATTTAGCCTATTATAAGGTGTCCGATTATATTTCAGATCAAAATGCTTGGGTTTAAACTATTTCAAATACTCTAACAGGCTTTTTCTATAATTATGATGAAGGTTTGTATTAACACAGTGACATTATAACATATTGTAAATATTGTTACATAATTATTTAACACTGTTAAGTTTTTCTCCACACCAAAAAAATGTTCTTAATTGGCGGTAGGGGAAAAAGTATGGATGATCCAAAAGAATTCTATTGTGCATCCAATTTGAATAAAGGATTTTTGACTTTGACTACATCAGTCTATAAAGTCTCGGTAATAAGTGATGGGGCCTATATGGTCAGAATAGAGAAAACAGAGGCCATAAATTATGAAATCTCAACGCCAGTCAAAACAGCAGTAGAAGCAGAATGCTCTCTTTCTACCTACAGAACTTATCTGGTGTTCATAATAATGGCTTCAGGTGATAATTTATATATACTTAGGTAATGGCCATGGCCATGGTAATGGCGTTCCAGTCCATTTATGTTTCCGAAGCAGTGGTAGCTATAAAGGAAAGTCTAAAGCTCTTTTTATAAGGCTATTTGCAAAAATTTTTTTTTATGTCTTTTCATAAAATGGCCTTAGGTCATGTGGGCCTGTGGCGCAAATTATTGTGTGCTAATAACTGTTGATGCATGCAAGAGAAATTGTTTTGCATGCTTTCAAAACCACAGAATTTGAGGCATTAATTTTATGGTTAATAGGAATGATGATATGACTGATCATTGCTAAAGTTACCTAATGTTAAAAATTGCACACGGAACAACCTTACTACATGGTAAAGCAGTTATCTTTTTCAAATTTGGTTTGAAACACCTTCTATAATTTACCTTGTTATTATTCTAAAATTATGCAATTTTATTTTATTGTGTGTGCTGTTGGACACGGATGACCTTTGCAACACAACTGGGCTTAGGCATAGATAGCTTTCTGATAGAATTCTGATGCCCTACCTCACTGAGCCTTGAAGTTGAGTGCGAGGTTCAGTCACGGACAGAAACTCAGCAGTACCAAAAAGTATGTCTTATTTCACTGTGGTTGTGTCTGTAAGGTACAGATTAATTTCCCAGAGAGCTGCTCCAATTTGATTACAAATTTTCTTAAGAACTACCGTTTTAAATAATGTATGCAAAACTAACCTTTAATGCTCTCTGGAAAGTACTGATAGATAGTAAAGCCAAGTCCTGCTGCTCCTCAGCATACCGTACAAGGTATACATACACAAGCTTCTTCACTTCTATGTTTTTTGATACAACATTTTTAACTACTGCTGGAAACCTACAATAAGGAATTTGTCAGTAGAGTATGATAGAAATGTGAAAATTATATTATCATTTTGATAATAATCTTAATCTTAGTGCAAGAGCTGATAAAAATAATTTAAATAAATGTTTTTTATTTTTTGCAAAATTATGTGTTTTATGTACCCATAATCACTTATTGCAATTGGTAATTATTTAATTATTTATTACCAATGGAAACTCACAAATAAATTTTGTACATGATAGCAAATAAATAAACTAAAACTATTTTTTGCTGAACTAAATGTTACTTACAACCTAACTTAAAGAAAATATTAATGAATAAATATGAACTTACAAGTCTGAAGCATCTCTTCCTTTGGCTATCATGCCAATTATCCTTTTCATAGCTTCCAGTTTCAATGAATCTTTAGATCCGTCTAACATCAACTTTAAGTCACCATTTCTAAAAACAAAAATATTAGAATTATGCTTTAGTACAGCAAATTTTTATGCAGGTACTTTGAGAAGCGTTAGGCAGAATTCATAATTAACAGTTCGAAAACACAGAAGTTTTACTGTTACTGAAATGAAGCAGGCACAGAGGAATTGTTAGACTGACTGCCCCCTAACACCAGATACCAAGTTTAAATATTATTAAGGGCTGATTAATAGGATATTGTATAGGTGTCAGCTTCTGCTTATTATTTAAGGGCTATTTTGCCAAAAACGTAGATTTAGTAATATATTTTACTTCTTGTAATCCGGTTGAAAGAATGCCCCCGATGCTGGATCAGTGGCGGGGTACTCCACCTCGCCGGTCACCACTTTATCATTATTATAAGACGACGTACTCGTCATCTCGTTAAATCAATGCACTTTCTACGTTTTCAATGTTACAAAATAACTTTCTTTTATTTTTTATCTAAAAACAAACTTGTGTTGACGTTGTTGGTGTTGGTGCAATTCAGTTTGACAATGACAGTGACAGCCAGCTGACACGATCACAGAATACAGAGAGGACATGCATGCATGACATTGGGTGTGTTCCGTAATATAAACCAGTATACTGGCCTGTGCTAATGACGTCAAGAATCGACGCCATGCTGTTGATTCGTTCAAAAATTTCCAAATACACTGATCAGCGCGGTGACGTCATGAACTGGCGCAATATGCAGTCTCGTCTTTGTGTTCATGCTCCAAAAATATAATAAATTATAATAAAGTGTGTAAATTTTGTTATTCCCTTCATAGATCAAAACTAAATTTTCTGTTTGTTGAGATTCCATTATTATCAATTTAATACAAAAAAGACCTTCACTAACTGCAGAGCGTATACACCCAGCTATTATACGTCACAGTATTCTCACCAGCATAATATGGCGGCACACCAGTACAATATGGCGTCGAAATCTTGACGTCATTACCGCTGGCCAGCGTACTGGCTTAAGTTTCGGAACACATCCATTGTATACCCCCTTTTGTTGTTGAAACTATCATTTTATGGATGCGACTGCACACATTGAAAATTTGTGTGTACTGAGCTCAAAATAATTGAACTTTCGAACAAATTCTAAGTGAATTCTGCAATGCCTAGATAAACCTAAAGTTTTAGGGTGAAAGGTTAGACTAACTAACTCATTAAAAAAATTATAATAATTCGAAAACTACGCAAAATCGTAGAATATACATGGGGGTGATTTGGATACTCATCATCATAAAGTATCTAAATTTTACGCTTGAACGTCAACTCCCCGGCCACCCTGTGTACTTTAAGTATATTTATATAGAATTCCATATTATACATCCATGAATGGAGTACAAATGTTCGTATTCATCACAGAAACATCTGCGCCGTATAAAATGTATGACAACTACAGGAAATATGCCGGTGGCGGTGTTTCGTAGTTGTGGCCAGTGGCCCGTGTGCTACTACCGTGTGGACACTAACACACTAGCCACCTGCACCATTGTGTTCCGCGCTCTTGAGATGATTTTACGCAACGGCTCCGCCCTCTGGGATGGCGAGCGGGGGTGTATGGGACTCGCCCGGGAGAGAGAGAGACTCAAGAGATAGCCGGGAATACTCCACTAAACTCCCCAGGAACTTCGCCTCTCCATAATTGAGCGGGCCACAAGCGTGCGCGTAGGCCCACTCGGCGGAAGTGAATTACCTACCTACTTCAACTCAAATGCTGCTGACATTATAATAATGAAGATCAATTTCGTGTTGATTGTGTAATGAAAGGTGACTTCATGAATCACCTCTGAAGTCATTTTTCAACTTGACGACTCTGTAAATGATAAAACAGGGAGAAAAAACAACCCTTGCTGAGTTTCTTGCCGGTTCTTCTCAGTACAAGGTCTCCCGCCGTAGATTTACGAACCGATGGCGTAGCTTCTAGACATTCATATGTGCTTGTAACAGCCTTAACTTACATATGTATTAAGGCTGTCAGTCTCGATACATTTTCGAGTCCCGGGAAAAAAATCGAGACTCGGTCCGGTCCCGGGATTCCCGGGAAAAACGAGACTTTCGGGACTGTGTAAATAAGTTTCATACTCAAGGTTTATACAATTAGGCAATTAATACAATATGTTTCAATTAAGTACTTTAATAATCAACTATTACAATATAATCAAATATAAGTAAAATTAACATTTTTCATTTTTATAATAGGCACGCAGAAAGCAAAGGGCATTCATTAAAAGTGTTTTCAGATAGACAGGATCTGATCTTGTTGCAAAAGTAACCTGCATTAGAAAAACCTCTCTCTGTTTCGACGCTAGTAGGGGGGATGGATAACAAATAATTATAGCATTGATTTAAATACTTACCTCTGTCGCCAACATGCTCAAAGAGAGCTTTTTCTACATGCAAAGTCGTTTGCAAGTCATGAATGCTAGTTTGTTTTTCTATTTTTTGAGGATTTAGCAAGTTTTCAAGCTCACACGCTAGCTGTTCTTTAGCAGTTAAACTGGTGAGCTCCGCAATAGTGATATCATTAAAATCATTTCAAACTTTATATAAAGAAACAATGAGTGAAGTTGTGAACGTATTGTGTTTGAGGTTAGGTTGCAATCTCTACAGATTACCCTAACTTTCACTTTACAGTGTTGCCACTTAACCGAATTAAAAAAATAATGGTAGTTTAGTAGATTGGTGTTTTTTGTAGATTATTTAACTAAGTCTCGAAAGTCTCGAAAATACGACAAAATCGTCGAGACTCTCGGAATTTTCGAGACTAACACCCATATTCTTAATCGCGTCCTCAAACGTTCCTCGACTCAAACTCATTCGAGGGCTCCTTAAGGAGTTCCTCCAAATAACCTCGAAAATGGTATTCTAGTTGGTATCTTGAACAAACTTGAGAATTCCTCCATTGAGAATTCCTCAACATTGTGACGTCATCATTTGGAGGATTTTATTTCTATAATGTTTAACAGAGGAAATATTATTTGTATGACTGTATCTTTTCTAAACCGAAATCTTCTTTGAAACGAATCATTGTCGTAAACCTTAAAAGGATTTGCGGCATCACGTAAATACCACGTATATTAAGCTAGCAGACCATGGTCGCAACGCGCACATCTAACCTACTGGGTATTTAGTTGCTAATTAGTTGCTAATTAGTTACACTATTCCCGATTTAGTTGCTCAACACCTGTAAAAGATACATGCGATCTGCTAGCTTAAGTCTTAACCTAGCAGACCACAATACTGTATCTTCGGCTCTCGTAAAGATATCGAAGTTCTGCAAACGGCATATTTAGTTGCTAATTAGTTGCTAATTAGTTTCACTATTCCCGATTTAGTTGCTCAACACCTGTAAAAGATACATGCGATCTGCTAGCTTAAGTCTTAACCTAGCAGACCACAATACTATATCTTCGGTTCTCGTAAAGATATCGAAGTTCCGCAAACGGCATATTTAGTTGCTAATTAGTTGCTGTAGGACAGCATTATTTGTTTTGTCCCCCCATCATCCCTTAATTGACGCACCAGCACCCACACTACCCCCGAAATACGATAAAATTAAAAAGAGCTCATCAGAGAATATAAACTACGGCGTATTTCGTTGCTAATTAGTTGCTGCAAAATAGCGTTGCTTATAGTATTTAACTATCAACCCTTAACTCCAAATCAGCACTGCAACCACCCCCGAATAGGACGATATCGGAAAATTCTCGTAGGTGGAAAAGGACGCGGCATATTTAGTTGCTTATTAGTTGTTTGCCAAAAATGCAGTTAAGAGTATTCTACAATCATCCCCTAACCTCAGATGCAACCCCTCTACTCACTTAGAAACAGTAGATGGTTAAAATTCGCACGCAGATGTTTAAGACTGCTGGATGTTCTGTTGCTAATTAGTTGCTCGCCAAAAACGCAGATAAGAGTATCCTACTATCATCCCCTAACTTCAGATCCACCCCCTCTACTCACTAAAAAATAGTAGATGGTTCGAATTCACACGCAGATGTTTAAAACTGCTGGATATTTTGTTGCTAATTAGTTGCTGCAAAATAGCGTTGCTAATAGTATTTAACTATCAACCCTTAACTCCAAATCAGCACTGCAACCACCCCAGAATAGGACGATATCGGAAAATTCTCGTAGGTGGAAAAAAGCGGCGGGATATTTAGTTGCTAATTAGTTGCTCGCCAAAAATGCAGTTAAGAGTATTCTACAATCATCCCCTAACCTCAGATCCAACCCCTCTACTCACTTAGAAACAGTAGATGGTTGGAATTCGCAAGCGGATGTTTAAAACTGCTGGATGTTCTGTTGCTAATTAGTTGCTCGCCAAAAACGCAGTTAAGAGTATTCTACAATCATCCCCTAACCTCAGATCCAACCCCTCTACTCACTTAGAAACAGTAGATGGTTGGAATTCGCAAGCGAATGTTTAAAACTGCTGGATGTTCTGTTGCTAATTAGTTGCTCGCCAAAAACGCAGATAAGAGTATCAACCCTAAACTCCAGATCATCCCTGCAACCATCCCAGAATAGGATGATATCGGAAAATTCTCGTAGGTGGAAAATAGACGCGGCATATTTAGTTGCTAATTAGCAATACGATATTCTGCAGTAATATACATCTACGAGCGTATTCTGGCCGATTTTTTATTGTAAAGAGAAAATAATGGTCGATCTGAGCTGAAGAGACGATTGTAGAAAAATATCCCGCATTTTTTGTACACATAAGGGTGGCAGCTGGGATGATTTGGAGTTAAGGGTTGATAATCAAATATTATAAGCAACGCTATTTTTCAGCAACTAATTAACAACAAAACATCCAGCAGTCTTAAACATCTGCGTGCGAATTTTAACCATCTACTGTTTCTAAGTGAGTAGAGGGGTTACATCTGAGGTTAGGGGATGATTGTAGAATACTCATAACTGCGTTTTTGGCGAGCAACTAATTAGCAACTAAATATCCCGCGTCTTTTTTCCACCTACGAGAATTTTCCGATATCGTCCTATTCTGGGGTGGTTGCAGTGCTGATCTGGAGTTAAGGGTTGATAGTTAAATACTATAAGCAAAGTTTTTTCGCAGCAACTAATTAGCAACAAAATATCCAGCAGTTCTAAACATCTGCGTTTGAATTCGAACCATCTACTATTTTTAAGTGAGTAGAGGGGATGGATCTGAGTTTAGGGGATGATTGTAGGATACTCTTATCTGCGTTTTTGGCGAGCAACTAATTAGCAACAGAACATCCAGCAGTTTTAAACATCCGCGTGCGAATTCCAACCATCTACTGTTTCTAAGTGAGTAGAGGGGTTGCATCTGAGGTTAGGGGATGTTTCTAGAATACTCTTATCTGCGTTTTTGACGAGCAACTAATTAGCAACTAAATATGCCGCGTCTTTTTTCCACCTACGAGAATTTTCCGATATTGTCCTATTCTGGGGTGGTTGCAGTGCTAATCTGGAGTTAAGGGTTGATAGTTAAATACTATAAGCA